TTCTAGAGGGCTGCGGCAAGGCGACCCTCTCTCGCCTCTTCTGTTTGTCCTGTGTACGGAGGGGTTTTCGGCCCTGATCCAGAAAGCTATAGCTGAAAAGAGACTTCAAGGTGTAAAAGTAGCCCCCCGGGCCCCTCGGGTCTCGCATTTGTTTTTTGCAGATGACTCGTATTTATTCTTACGAGGAACCCTGCAGGAATGCGAGAACTTGATGGTGGTCCTAAATGAGTATGAAGAACTGAGTGGTCAGAGGATAAATTTGGCTAAATCTGCGGTGTGCTTCAGCAAGAATATTGTGCAGGAGGATCAAGAGTTCTTGGCTGCGGTTCTGGGGGTGGGCGCGGTAGGGGTCCATGATAAATATCTGGGACTTCCTACGCTGATTGCACGGTCTAAAATGGCGACGTTTCGATACCTTGAGGATAAGCTCCTCGAACGCCTCCAGGGGTGGAAACAGCGGACCCTATCTTGGGCAGCGAAGGAGACTCTAATCAAATCGATTGCCCTTGCGTTACCTCTGCATGTTATGTCATGTTTTAAACTTCCGGTCTCCCTCTGTCGTCTTCTGGACAAGCATGTGGCGCGATTCTGGTGGGGTGATTCGGACGGGCACCCTCGTATTCGGTGGATGTCCTGGAGGAATATGTGCAGAAGCAAGCATGATGGTGGGATGGGCTTCCGGCGATTTGAGCAATTTAACCAGGCGCTCCTTGCCAAGATTGGCTGGCGTATTCTGATGGAGCCAAACTCCCTTCTTGCGCAAGTTTATAAAGGTAAATATTTCCCGAGGGGGTCGTTCTTGCAAGCTACGGCCCGCTCTCGGCCCTCTTGGGGATGGCAGAGTATTCTCTTTGGCCGTCAACTATTGGAGAAGGGGTTGAAATGGCAGATTGGAAATGGGAAAACGGCTTCTTTGCTGAATTCCAACTGGATACCGAACTATCAGCTAGATCCCCCGGTCGTTAATCCTATAATCATTCCGGAGGGTGGCGATCCACCTGTAGCGATTGTTATGTGCGAAGATGGTGGGCGTTGGAATGACCGCAAGCTTAGCCAGTGGTTTGATCCCCCTTCCTGTAGAGCTATTAAATCGATCCCCCTTCCCCGGCGAAATGTGGAGGATAGGCTCATTTGGTATGATACGGCAGATGGGCTGTTCTCGGTCAAATCTGCCTACCACTTAGCCGTTGCGTTGGATAAAAGGGGGGATGGCTGGAAGGCCACTGTCAGCTGGATGGATAGGCAGAGCTGGATAAGGGTATGGAATGCAAACATTCCCCCAAAGCTTAAGGTGTTTGTCTGGCAGATCCTTAATAGAATCTTGCCAACTACGGAAGCCCTGATCAGTAAGCGTGTTCCGGTGCTCCCTCGATGTCCGGTCTGCTGGGATAGTCCGGAAACGATGGAACACCTGTTCCTTGACTGCCCGGTAGCGCGGGCATTGTGGGAGTACTCAGGACTGGATTATGTGGGGGAGGGGTTGGCAAGGCACACCTTCCCTTTGTTTCTGAAAAGACTGATGGCCTTGATTTCCCAACCTCAGCTGTTCATGGCAGTGGTTGCTATCTTATGGCGTATTTGGCGCTCCCGTAACTGGGTAGTCTTTGATGGCAAGCAATTTGGGATCGATGCCTTGATGCGCCAATTTCATCAACAATATGAGGAGTGGGTGCGATTGCCAGTAGAGAAGGTTTGCCATCCTTCAGGCCCGGTGGGGGACGGTGGTGGGATTGGAGAGGATGGAGGGGTTATTTGTCAGTGGGATGGGGGAATCCGGCCAGGGTCGCATGCGGCTGGTGGTATTGTCCTGTTATCCCCTGACAGAAACATTCTGCTGGCTAAAGGAGTCCAATTCCCTCTGTTAGGGGACCCAATGTCGGTGGAGCTTCTGGTCCTTCGGGAGGCGGTTGAATGGTGTCTGGCAAATGGCTTCAATAATGTTCGTTTTGAAGGCGATGCGAAGGTGGTTATTGACAAACTCAATCAAGGGGATGCCAGAGACAACCGAGTGGGTGCTGTTTTGGAAGAAGTTTTGCTTTACTTTCGCCTCCACCCGGGTTTGAGGATTCGATTCGTAGGACGGAGTAGTAATAGGGTAGCCCATTTGGTGGCTAGGAAAGCCCTTTCTTTGTACCCGGTCGCGGATCGTGGATTTAATTATCAGGCCTGGCTGCTCTCCAGGGTGTAACTATTTTGCTTGATATAATACTAATTATCTTTTGTCAAAAAAAAAAAAAAAAAAAGTTCTTTCAAAATAGCAAAAATTGGGCAGGAAAAGGTTAAACAACTATTTCACAAAAAAAAAAAGGTTAAACAGCTAAAAGGATAAAAAGGTAAACATCACATTTGTACTGCTATATTATAATTTAGGACTTTGCTACGGTGACATGCATGTCACGATGACATGCACTTTTCGGTCGACCTCATATAGGATCAGGTCGACCTAATCAGTTGTTTCAGTGTACAAACAGTTTCATGGTGCCTACTTTGAAGATTCATATCTTACAATTGGCTAGATGGAAATTGGAGATTAAAGGCTTGTTTTGAAGCTGAAGTGTCCCTCTACACATTAAAGTACTTGGGAGCTCAATAGAAAGTCCAGAAGACCATTTTTGAACCTGACCAAAAGGCTATGCCAAAACTGGGAAACTGCCTGAAAATGGCCAAGTCTGGCAACGTGTTTGTCAAGCCTACTTTGGAGCTCAATTTGACAAGCATGGATGCGAGTCAAGTCCAGGGGCCTTTACCACGTTAAATTACGTATTTTTTTATACAAAGTCAAGGCATTGAATGAAAGATTGAATATCTTTAAGGCTTCAAACAAAAGGCTCGAAGTTGCTACGAAGGCTGTTTTCTGGCAGCTTGCTTGTGCTCGAAGTCTGCCAGAAAAACAGCCTTCGTAGCAACTTCGACCCTTTTGTTTGAAGCCTTAAATATATCCAATCTTTCATCCAATTCCTTGAATTTGTATAAAAACATACCTAATTTAACGTGGTAGAGGCTCCTGGACTCGACTCGCATTCATGCTTCTCGAATTGAGCTCAAAAATAGGCTTCACAAACACGTTTCCAGACTTAGCCATTTCTAGGCAGTTTCCCAGTTTTGGCATAGCCTTTTGATGAGGTTCAAAAATGGTCTTCTGGACTTCCTATCGAGCTCTCAATCACTTCAATATGTAGAGGGACACTCCAGCTTCAAAACAAGTCATTAGTCTTCAATTTCCATCTAGCCAATTGTATGATATGAATATCCAAAGTAGGCACCATGAACTGTTTTTACACTGAAACAACATATTAGGTCGACCGGATCCTATATGAGGTCGACCGAATCCTAAATGAGGTCGACCGGATCCTATATGAGGTCGACCGAATCCTATGTGAGGTCGACCTAATCCTAACTGAGGTCGACCGGAAAGTGCAAGTCACCGTGACATGCATGTCACCGTAGGCACACCCTATAATTTATAACAGTTGTCCGTTCTCAACAATATTATTACTAAGCCATTTATATATCTTCATTACTATTTATTACTTAACCGAAATGATATATTTGTGTTAGCTAGAAATTCATTTAACATAGTTCAACTTGAAAAATATATATTATATAAGTTTTAGGATGTACTTTCATATTCTGAGAATTTATTAAAATACATTCATAGTGTAAATCATGACTCATGAGGGAGGTTAAGATACTCTACCAAAAAATCATTCATAATATTATCACTAATCTAATTCTGAAGTGTTTTTTTCACTTTGTTTATTGCACTAAGTGCTCTTTTAACAATTTGCAACTGATAGCAACAAACACTCTTCCGAATTTTTGTTTATATTAAACTCAATTACAAAATATATATGAGAATTGAAAGTTTATCAAAGATCACAATGAACAAGGGCATGTCTAATAGCAATACCAAGTATCAACTATTGTTGGTTTGATGGAATTGGAGGGAGTAAATTCATGGAGCCCATGGACTTTGGAGGTCCAAATATGGGTACTCCACGAACTTGAAAGTTCCACTTATGAAGGTGGGAATTGAGTGTTGGATTTAAATCCATGATAACAATTTACTTGTTTATCCCTACTCATTTTACCTAATGACCATTATGCACTTCCCCTTCCCCTTTCTTCTTTCTTGATGGTGGCCAGTGGCCTCCAACTCTCCGTCCTCAATTTTCCCTACAGCGTCGAATGATAAATGGAGCCTCCTGTCTGTTTCTCTTTGTCTCTTTCTCTCTTTGAGCTGGTTTAACATCATTTTCTTGCATAACTTGTGTATTTCGGGATGAAATTTTGAATTTATGGTGGTGCTCGAGTTAACAAAAAAATTGAGAAGTTTTCAAATTCGGTTCAATATCACCTCTTCTTCTATTGAGTCTTGTTTTTACTCCTCTATTGAGATTTCTAACACCTTATGCATTATGCGTTTCTACATTTGTAACTGAATTAGTTCACAAAGTAGCGGTTCAAAGAATTTGTATGCATTAGATTGTTTTAAATGGAAATTTGGATTTTATTGGAAATGTAAATAGAGAAAGGTAACAAGCTAATTTGTGTTTCATATCCACAAATCTAATCTAATCAAATCCATAAGTAAATCCAACAACCAAACAATAGACTTGTTCAAATTCATAATGCCACCAAATCACAAAATCCATGATTTTCCAATACTCAGGTTTTACCAAAATTCTCATTTTTCAAATCTAAGAAACGAAGGAACCGTAAGTGGTTCTATCCTTTTTGTATTTTTATTTTTTGGAGAGAGTCAGATTTTTTTTTATCAAATATAAAAAATAAAATAAAAAGAAGCAATAGAATTACAGAAACAAACAAAAAGGAAGGGGGAAAAGAAAGAAAGAAAGAAAAATGAGGTCGGGGTGATATGAGCAAATCCAATTCAATCCAACAAACCTTTTTGTTATTTACTTTATTTTTAGTGGTAATTTCTGTTTCTAGGGCTACCAGTAGTCTACTGGATTTGTAACGAACACTGTTGGCATCCCAAAATTCCCACAGGTTCCCCAATTTGGCATTTTACGTAATTTTACCGGAAAAAGAAGGGTATATTCACTTCCTCCTTAACCCCCCCGCCCCTTCCTCCTTCAACCCTGTCGTTTATATATCTTCCGCAAACTCCAACACTTTTTCTACGGCCCGCTTCTCTTTCAAGTTTCATCTCTCTCTCTCTCTCTCTCTCTAGCTCTCTCTGTGTGTCTCCGTTCCCCGTATCTCTCTCTCAGCTGAAGTCTGATCTCAATCCCCGCCGTCTCTGTAAACCTCTTCGCAGTACAATTCGCAGAGATCCAGTCAGGTATATAACTCAATCTCACATTGCCAGATCTTCTTCTGCTTTTTGCTCCTGTTACTGTACTGCTGCCGGCCGCCATCGGAGGTCTGTTTCAGATTGATTTTCCAGCTCTCGCGCGCGCGCTCTCTGCGTGCACATCTGTAATTCTGTATCTATTTCTCTGATCGCTCTTTCCTAGTGTGTAATGGTTTTAGCGGATTCGTGGTGGTGGCGGGGCGGCGGCTTTGATCCAATGGCGGATCGAGCTGTGTTCCTGTTTACACTGTGTTCTGTTTTTTTTTTCCGGATTGATATTGATCGGATTGGGTTATCCGATAGTGTAGCTAGCCGTTTACGTTTTTGCCCCCTGCAAGTTTCGATGAATTCGATGTGCCGGATCTGATCGTTTTTGCCGATCTAATCTATTGGATTTCAGAGCGCAGCTGATAGTGATGATAATTGGTTGATTCGATTCATGCATCCTGAATGTGTTATTTTTCTTGGCCGTTGCGTGTGCGTGTGGGTTTGATTTTTGTTTAGACTGTTGAGTGTTTGGTGGAAATCTTGCTGAACTGCTTGTTAGTGGTGCATGTGATTTGGATGTTGTTTGGTTCCTTTTTCACGTGTCTAACGCCTTTCTTTTTCTTATTGGGTTGGGATGGGGGAATTGATGTTTCGTTTGGCTGTCACTGATGATCGATGAATATATATTTTTTGGGAGGGTTTCAATTGTGATTGTTGAGCCGTTATGCATGCGCTGAATTGAAAGAGTTTTCTTGGGATTGAACATGTTGTCTATTGTTTTGATTTTCCATCTCTTGTTTCGCTCTATTCTTGCTGAAGCTGGTTGCTTTCTCGGTTGGTTGTAGATCTTAGCTGTTGAGATGGCGACATCGGCAGCTGGGGCCACAGGATGGTACAAGGGGAGAGTGAAAGCTGTGCCATCTGGGGACAGTCTGGTCATAGTGGCAATTTCCACCACCAAGAAAGGACCTCCTCCTGAGAAGACCGTCACTTTGGCTTCTCTTATGGCACCTAAGCTGGTAAATCCTTTGTGACCCTTTGCGTTTTGGGAACTCTGTCGACTTCATTGTTTACTGTATTTTCGAATTCGGGATTTGTTGATGAGTTTGTCTTCGCGAGGCAATCTCAGAAAGTCCACGAATGGTGAAATTGGTGGGAGTTTGAACTGATGGTGCTATGGTTCCCCTTTTTGCAGGCTCGGAGAGGCGGAGTTGATGAGCCCTTTGCCTGGGGTAGTAGAGAGTTTCTGAGGAAGCTTTGCATTGGCAAGGTAATGTGTTTTCTGGCACTTGTTTAGATATTGTGGATGCAGGAGGATAGTTGCTTTCCAGTTTTAGTTATTTGTTCGCTGATTGGTATGTTGTCTGTGATTTTCTTCTTTACAGGAAGTTACTTTCAAAGTTGATTATGCTGTGCCCTCAATTGGGAGGGAATTTGGTACTGTATTCTTGGGTGATAAAAATGTTGCTGCACTTGTTGTTTCTGAAGGCTGGGCAAAGGTAATGTGTCTCTCCTACTACATGGTCTTTGTATTTTCTACATTGGTTTGGTGTAGTCAAGTGTTTAATTGAGTCATGTATCTGTAGGTCAGGGAGCAGGCATCACAGAAAGGAGACGCTAGTCCTTTTCATGCTGAACTGCTACGGCTTGAAGAACAAGCAAAGGAACAAGGTCTTGGTAGATGGGATAAGGTTAGTAGTGCCATGTTTGTGTAATGTTCTGCTTGTCCCCCTCGTTGTATGCTTGGATCTCCAATTGATTTTTAGATGATTGATCTTTTTGGTTTGAATTCAAATGAGACGTGCATATAAGTTTTCTTCTCTTCACCTTGATTAGATTTTGGTCCCTGAATTCCGGTAGAAGAATTGCCGGAAGGCGTTAGCAACATCTATCCTTATGGTTGTATAGTCATAATTCGAATGAGCTTATAATTTCTGCCCCTCCCCCCCCAAAATCTCAAGCAGGTCAAAATGGTATCCCTTTAAAATTGATGCGAGTTATGGAGCTTGCTCGCTTGTCTTTTGGTGCTTCCTTTTTGGCTGTAGATTATGCTTAATGTGTGTTCCTGACTGTAGGATCCTGGTGCTGCTGAGGCATCTATCAGAGATCTCCCCCCTTCTGCCATTGGAGATGCTAGTTACTTGAATGCTGAGGCTTTTTTAGCTGAAAACAAAGGAAAACCTATGGAATGCATTGTTGAGCAGGTTCCTAATGGAAGCACCATACGTGTCTATTTGCTTCCAGATTTTCAGTTTATTCAAGTCTATGTAGCGGGAGTCCAGGTAAATATTCTATAGAGATATTGTTACTTGCTGTTGCATCTGGATCAGACCATCCAAGTACTTATCTCGGTTTCTTTTTCTAACTAGTGCCCATCCATGGGCAGAAGAGCGTTAGCTGTACCTGTTTTGGAAAAAGAGGCAAAATCAGGCGAGACAAATGGAGATACTTCTGCGCCCAGTGCGGCAGAGAGAGTTGCAGCTCCAGCAACACATCAAGAAAATCCTCCTCAGCCATTTGCTGTTGAAGCCAAACACTTCACGGAGCTTCGTGTCTTAAATAGAGAAGTAAGCTCAAATGCTGCATAATGTTGTGTATCACCTGTCAAGCTGCCATCTGCTAACTTCTGTCTGGTTACCCAGGTTCGTGTTGTTTTTGAGGGTAAAGACAAGCATGGGAATCTGCTTGGGTCAGTCTACTATCCTGATGGGGACACAGCGAAGGATTTAGCACTGGAACTTGTGGAAAATGTAAGTACTCAAACATCTTTGTTAGCTTTTCTTCAGGATTTATAATTGCCTTCATTGAGTTTCTGTTCATATCTGCTGATATCTTACACTTTTTCATAATAAATGGTTCTGCTGTCGCCTAGCTTTGTTGCATTTGATCTTATCTTGAGCTTGCTAAAAAGAAAGTTAGATTTGTGCTTATCACTAGGTTCTCAAATGAAGGGTCTTTGTTTGAGTGACCTATTAATGCTTTTGTATCTCTAGGAAAGATTCGTGACAATGTTTCTGAATCAACTTTAAACCTGGATTCTAACCCCAATAGATTTTGGATGTACCTGAATTTATGGAAGTCGTTGTTTGGTTGGGTAGATTGAAGAAAGTTATTATTCAACGTATGATCTTCAAATACTATCTTATTTATTCAGGGTTTAGCTGAATATGTTGAATGGAGAGCCAGTTGTCTGGAAGAAGATGCCAGGCGTCGGTTGAGGTCCGCAGACCTTGAAGCTAAGAAAAGTCGCCGGAATATGCATACCAATTATAATCCAGGTGTTAAAAATTCGAAGGCAATTCACGACCAAAAATTCACTGGAAAGGTAGTGTTTGGTTTGTCAAATATAAACTTTCTTTCTTTCTGGTATGTTTATCGGTTCTCACTGAGTTGGATTTGTTCCGAGTTTGATTCAACTTCTCTTATAGGTTGTGGAAGTTGTAAGTGGTGATTGCATCGTTGTAGCTGATGATTCTTTCCCTTGTGGAAGTCCACTGGCTGAAAGACGAGTTTTTCTTTCAAGTATTAAGTGCCCGAAGATGGGGAATCCTCGCGTAGACAAGCCAGCAGAGCCATTTGCCCTGGAAGCCAAGGAGTTTTTGAGAACACGGCTCATCGGCAAACAGGTATGAAATTGTAGTAGTGATTATTCTCTCTCCACCTTGTTATTATTTTCTTAGGGATGACTTGCAACCTGCTCCATTGCAGGTACACGTACAAATGGAGTACTCTTGGACCCCCCCTGAGGCTGCTGGTTCTGGAGACTCTAGACTGATGCATTTTGGGTCAGTGTTTCTCACATCTTCTACCAAGGGGGACAATGCTGAAGCATCAGCAACAGCACCACCAACTACTGCTGGTCAGCCAGCTGGTATCAATGTGGCTGAGTTGATTATTTCTCGTGGCCTTGGCGAGGTTATAAAGCATAGAGATCAGGATGAAAGATCAAGTTACTATGATTCCCTTCTTAATGCTGAATCACGAGCTACTGGTGCGAAGAGAGGGAAGCATTCCTCCAAGGAGTCTATCACCAAGCCCATGCACATAACAGATCTTACTTCTTCTAAGAATAATAATGCAGTTACGAAGACTCCACTCTCTTTTTTTTTATGCTGGATTGTTTGGTCTATCTATCTTGTAATAATTCTGATGTGCTGCTGTTCCATTCAGGGAATTGCCAAGAAAGCAAAAGATTTCTTGCCGTTTCTGCAACGTGGTAGAAAGATTACAGCCGTAGTGGAATACGTGCTGAGTGGTCATCGTTTTAAGTTGCTGGTTCCCAAGGAAACTTGCAGCATTGCCTTTGCTCTGTCTGGTGTTAGATGCCCTGGCCGCGATGAACCTTATTCGGATGAAGCAATCGCATTGATGAGACTGCGGTTGATGCAGAGAGAAGTAGAGGTACTTTCCATTCTGTGCAGTTGTCCTCTGAACTGATTCTTTAATTCTTTCGGTTATGTCTAAAAGCTTATTATGGCCACACAGATTGAGGTTGAGACTGTCGACAGAAACGGAACTTTCTTAGGATCCTTGTGGGAGTCGAGGACTAACATGGCAACAGTTCTTTTGGAAGCTGGGCTTGCTAAGCTACAGACTGCTTTTGGCAGTGACAGGATTCCTGAAGTCCATCTACTTGAGCGGGCTGAGCAATCTGCCAAAAAGCGGAAATTGAAAGTATGAAAGGACCATACATAATAGTGTTTGCTGTTGCTTAACAAAGTTTACTTACTCACCCAGCTTCTTGTATTTGCAAACTGTGTCTTCTACAGATATGGGAGAACTATGTTGAAGGGGAAGTGGTCTCTAATGGTGCACCAACCATGGAAGGCAAGCAGAAAGAAGTTCTGAAGGTGGGTGGGGTTCAGTTGTACTTACTGTACCAAATGTTCCGCCCTTTCTTATTTTATGATTTGAAAACTGGTGCCTGATTTTGCCTTATTTTGCCAGGTCGTGGTTACTGAAGTCTTGGGAGCTGGCAAGTTCTATGTCCAGACGGTTGGAGATCAGAGAGTAGCATCCATCCAGCAACAGCTCGCCTCCCTCAATCTTCAGGACTCTCCTCCACCTGTTATTGGTGCTTTCAATCCGAAGAAGGAGGACAAAGTACTTGCTCAGTTTAGTGCAGATAATTCTTGGAATCGAGCTATAGTAAGCAAGCATCCACTGTTGCTATCCGCCACTTTATGTTTTCTGTTTCATCATTGTAGTGTTTCTCTTCGGAAGTCATCAGGTATCACCTGGACCTTCTTGGCTCTTTGATTTTCCACTGATATTTTTGACTTTGTGTGAAGATTGTCAACGCACCGAAAGGAGCCGTCTCATCACCAAAGGATAAGTTCGAGGTCTTCTACATTGATTATGGAAACCAAGAAGAGGTCACATATGCGAATTTGCGACCTATCGAACCTGCACTATCTTCAGCCCCTCCGCTTGCCCAGCTTTGCACCCTGGCATATGTTAGGGTCCCTGACCTCGATCAAGACTTCGGCCCAGATGCTGCTGAGTTTTTGAGCGCCAACACTTTGAGCACTTCAAAAGAATTCAGAGCCAAAATAGAGGAGCGCGATTCCATTGGAGGGAAAGTTAAAGGGCAGGGCACTGGCCCAATCCTAAGCGTAACCTTGGTGGCTGTCGATGCTGAGATTAGTGTAAATACAGCCCTGGTTCAGGTAATTCATTACATTTACAACCAATCAATTCTTGGTTCTGGTAGCTTTAGTCATTTCACGCCACTTACGAAGAAAGGCCAACAAATTAGCTACGATCATTCGGTCATTTGAACACAATTTCTCGAATTCTCGCAAGGCTCTATCTGGTCTTTGATATACTACTCTTGTCTCTTGCTGATACTTCTCCTTTCTCCGTACCATTTCGATGCTATATTATACAGGAAGGACTAGCTAGGATCGAGAAGAGGAGGAAGTGGGACCAAAAGGACAGAAAAGTTGCACTCGATAACCTGGAGAAGTTCCAGGACGAAGCACGTTCCGCCCGGAGGGGAATGTGGGAGTATGGAGATGTCGAGTCGGACGAAGAGGATGTCGCCGCTCCACCGGCACGCAAGGCTGGCGGTGGCCGCCGATGATAGTGTCGCCGTTGCCGGCAACAAAAAAAATGCTCGTGTACATTATTCATACCTCAGCACACAGGTTAAAAAGATGTTGCACAGCAAAAGGGAATATGACGAGACATGAGCTACAGTAAGTGAATGTGATGAGAGACATAAAGCTAAATCCTCCCCCATTTAGGATTCTGAGTTTTGTTTTGTTTTTTCCCTTTTCCATTTGAGGTTATAATTTGTAGGCGAGATGCGGAGGTGAACTATTTTTTTCCCCCCTAGTTCTTAATAAGGTGAACTATTTATAGCCAGTTTGAGATGTTGAGTGAAAACCTTCGTAGAAGAGGGAAAAAAAATAGAGAACAGTTTTGGTGTTTTTGAAGGATCCATCTTTGCGTTTTCTATCATTCTGTCGTCTGGTTTCCCTTTAATGTGTTTCCTTTTTGTTTTGGGAAATAAGCTTAACCTGAGTTGTATTAGGGGGCCCTGATGCCAGTGCCTTCAGAACCGAAACGGACATAGAACGAAGGGTTGAAAAATCGTATTCAAGTTGGTATTAGAGATGGTAAAAATATCTGTAATCGTGGATATCCAACCGAATCCGATTTAATTGGGTAGGGTAAAATTCGAACCCGAAGGATTTTTTGTGGGTACGGGTAAAATTCGAACTCGAATATTGTGACTGATGGGTGGACATGATTTTTTCACTATCTAACCCGAACCCGTCCGATTATAATACACATGCATATGATTTGTGTATAAATAATCATTATTTTTTTTCAACATATTTTATATTTAGCATATAAATATAATATTTTCATGAAATCGTGTTGTTTTAATTAATTTTTTTCATTCTAGTGAATTATTGTCTTACTTTTCTTTTTATGTAATGGGAGAATATGTGTGAACGTTAACATATTTGTTGGAGTTATAAAGAGAAATTATTACCCATGGATAACCATTGATACCTGAAACCAGAACGGGCATGAACATGATTTTGATTTTCTATCCACTTTTATGCGGGTATGGGTACGGGTAAAACCCGAACTACTTTGGATAGGGTAACGGATATGCACTATCCGCGCCCAACCCGACCCATCGCCATCCCTAATTGCTGTTGGAGTGTTGGTAGGCTTAGTGGTCTATTATGGTGCAAGAGTGTTGCTCCCCTTTCGGAAGAATGTTGCTCTCTTAGGGTTTTGATATTAGTGCGTTGAAACTGATCGAGCACAGGACAAGTGCACCCTAGGCTGACGAAGCAGTATAATGGTGATTGTGGTCGTATTCCAGGAGTTCTCGGATGTATTGCTATTCAAAAGCTCGTTGCCATTTAACCTAATGGCGAAATTGCTTTAACAGACATAGAACTAACTTGCAAGTTGCAACTAGTGATTAACTCAAGTACAGAGGTACTTGGGGATATTAATCCCCCTAACTCTATGAGGATGATCGCCATGCTTAGGCTAAGAACAAAACAAATAATGATCTTTACTAAAGTAAGAGATTGGCCAAGCAATTAATTGCTTTTACCGAATAGACACTATCGACCAGCATTCGAGCATGAAGTCTTACAGGGGATTACTTTGTCGACAGAGCACCTCACCAGTTTTAGAAAGCAATCAACATTCTCAGGATACTAGTTATATCGTAATTTCGATGGATGTACTCCTTTATTGTTGTCCTCATGAGCTACTAGTTCGTTAGTTGTGTACATTGACGAACACTCACCCTAGAGGTTCCTTAGACGATGCAAAGTTTGATTCTTGATATATGTTGTTTGAATTCATCATGCTATGTTTATTGTTGTCGTGATTATATTAGTGGGAATGTGACAACATTGGTGGGAATGTGACAACAAAAGACGAAATCCTTATGATTGATTCTCTGCATCATATACAATTCACGTATGACAACAACCTTTTGACAAAAAATGATGAGTAGGAGTATAAAACCGTAACGAGTGACACATATGCATGAATTTCCTCAAACAAATATGGTTGGGGGTTCTCAACTTGTCTTCTATGAATCATATCAGTTCTTGAATTATCAGATACGTATCCAAAATTATACCTAAAATATTAGTGTGACTTCAACAGTTCAACGGACGAAAAGGACACCTAAAAAATGCAACTGCAAACTTAGTACAACCTTTACTGTCAAAAATTAAAAGAAAAAAAAAACTTAGTACATCGAAAAATACTAAAGCAATCTAATGACACTAGCTATTATAGTAGCTGTAGCTAACTACCATAACCTCTAAGAGATGGTAATTGTCACCTTTTTTGTTTCTTTTTCAAATACACTCTGTGCCAAGAATCATCCACCCGCCCACAAAGAGACAACAGCCATCAAAGGAAAAAAAACCCAGTAGCAGTTTTGGCCAACAAAGGAAAAAAAACCCAGTAGAGATCTCGATCCTACCAAAGAGACAACAGCCATCCGTCTCCTTCGTCCTCTTTCAACCTCACAAGCATTTACTCGCGTCTGGTCGTCCTCCGGCGAGGTGCAGCCGTCGACGTACTCTCATCCTTCTCCACACTGCTCTCTTCTTTGCTCGAAGCCTCGGTGGCTGCTGCGGCAGGTGCTGGCTTCTTCTCAACCTTGGCCTGCATTACACGAATCGTTATTACACGAGGCCGAGACAAAACGAGACGCGAAGGCAACGTGATCAAGAACTTACTGCCTTCTTCCCGCCGAAAATGATCTTAACGAAAACGGTGAGGATCACGACGGCGATGGAAACGAGGACGCCGATCGTTAGGTTTGGTTGCTTCTCTGCCTTCTCCACGAGTTCCTGCATGGAAGGTGTCGTCACATTAAGGGCAACTCATCCGCAGACTGGAGAAGTGGAAACGGTCGATAACCAAATGGAGAGAAGGCAGAAGAGAGTTTTTGACTTACAATGATTTTGTCCTTGTGATCCTTCAAGAATGGGATGTCAGCCACCTTGTAAAGGACATCGAATACCTTCTTCTGCAGGATCGAAAGAGACGCGACAGTGAGTGACATAACCAACAAGTGATGGGGAACGAAAAGGAAAATGAAAAGCATACCAATCGACTGATAAACAAAGCCGGTCTATTACCTGGATGCCAGCAAGAGCATCTGATCCAGTAGCTGCAGCCTCCTCGGCCTTCTGTTTCTCCTTCTCGGCATCGAACTTTGGCTTCCACAGTCCCTCTCTGTGCAATGCTGCTTCAGCCTCGTCTTTAGCGATCAAGATGTTGTCGAACAATATACCATCCTGCATTGTCCAGATCTCAATGCCGACAGCAGCAATGGGCTCGAAGTCGGGCTTCTCCAGCTCAAAGTAGTCAGGGTTGGCAATCTCCTGAGGCTTCCAAATACCCTTGTAGCTAGGGTTGTCAATCAAAGGAGCACGCCATTTCCCCTTGTAGGCAGGGTTGCTCTTCATGGGCCTCTTCCATTCACCACAGCCAGGTGCAGACTCGCACTTCGGGTTCTGGATTTTTGGTGCTTCCCACTCACCATCCTCCTCATCGTCCCAATCTTCTGGTTTGCTAGCCTCAGGCTCATCAATCTCTTCAGGCTCATCATCCAACCAGCCTTCAGGTTTCACAGCATCCACATCTTCAATCTCCATGGGTGCATCTTCATCCCAGTCATCAGGCTTCACAGCATTGGCGTCGGGAATTTTAGATCTCTCATCCCAATCCTCAGGTTTCTTGTCATCTGGGTCAGGAATCGTCTTGGCAGGAATCAGGGCAGGCTCAAAGTCTTCTGATGAAAGGAAATTCGCCTTCTTCTTCTCTTCGCCATCAACAAGAATTCTCAGCTCGTTGTCCGGTTTCATAATGGCGGTATAGACATGGGTGAGCTTATCAGAAGGAACGGAAGGTGGGAACTTGAGGTGGTGCTCCACATACTCCCCACTCTTCGGGTTCTTATGCTTCAAGATGAAGTGAACCTTGTTCGTCCCTCCGCATTTGTCGGGTCCAAACATGATGGAATACGGGGAGTCATTGTCGAACTCCTTAGCTACCCACCCAGCTTCCTGTGGCCGGAGATACTTCAGATACGCACCACCACATTCAAGCCCGTTCTGGAGGCGGGTCTCGAACTGAAGGACGGTGGTACCCTCCTTCAGATCCGCTTCATTCTCAAGCTCTCTGACTATTGCGTACTTCCTGGCCTTCTCACTCACGAGAAGTCCAAAATCCTCATGTCCCTCACTCTTGGAGTGCTTCCAGACACCTATAACGAGTTCAATTTCAGTTAAAAACTGAGAATCCAATCCCTGAAAACCATTAGCAATCAGAACCTATGCCTAATCATTCAAACTCTTAACCTATTCCTCAACCCAGAACCACAACCATTATTCAAGCCAGAAATTAGCCTACAACAACATTCCAACTATCTGACCTAGCAACAGCAAAATGTTCCATATATGGCAATGATCCCTAGCAAAACTTATCAATTTCATGGTGACGGTACATCCAGAGGACTCTCAGATAGATCTCTCTACCTTTGAAACAAATGTATAGCGGATTAGCGCAAGCTTGTAAGTTCCAACCAACGCCATAGAGCTCCCGCTCGAATTATCATTGGATAACTAGCATTCATACATACACCGATCTATCTCTAATCTACAGATCCTTCCACCGAAAATTTAACCGAAAATCTCCTATACCGCAAGGATTAACGAGTTGACGAAAGAGATCCAGACGAACACAGGACGAATCCATGTTTACCTTTGTACTCATCTTTCTCGGAGACGATCCATCGCCCTTCAAACGGCTCATCGAACGACTCGAACAAGATCTACAAAACGGCACAAAAGGAGAACGAAGCATCAGCAAGCAAACACTCTAATAAACCGCAAATCAGGAAGCAGATTTTCAGATTACCGGAAAATGTTGTAGTAAAAGCTTCTTACCGTCTTGTCACCGGTCGCGCGCAGCTGCTGGGCGAATGAGATTACAGCCAAGACGACGGAGAATAGCGCCAGTCCCACAGTGACCCGGGCCCGCCTCATCTTCGCGGTGGCGACTGTTTCCCGATCTGAATCTCTCGGCGATTGAATCCCTCCGATGGAAAGCTACGGCGAGAGAGGAAAGAGCTAAGCGAAGCGAAGCGAAGCCGACTCACGGAGATCAGCTCGATGAGTGCGTCAGTGCAGTAGATATAGAGGTGCACGGATCTTGGGAAGCAAACGCGGGTTCGTGTTGTCGCGGCCAATCAGAGATCGAGACACGTGAGAAGAGCCAATGGCTAGCCGCCACGTAAGAAATTCCAGCAAGGATTTCTGGCTTTCGACTCTTCCAATTGGAGAAATAAGAAATTTACTAAACAATTAAACATGGGCTTGACCCAGTCTCTCTTGTCGATTTGTCTGTATAAACATGGGCCATTTGCCCAAGCCTGGACTAAAAAATGGTGGCAACGGTCCAGTAACTTTTTTTTTTTTTTTTTACAGTAATCTGTTAGGCTGTTATAAGGTGCTAACTAGAGTTAGGGCTGTAAATGAGTGGCTCGGCGTTCGAAACTAAATTTGTTTATTAATGAGTCAAGCATTAGCTAAGCTTTGTTCAGCCCGTGAACACAGCGAGCTAGCACGATTCGGTGGCTTGTTGAGCTAAACTCGTGAGTTGGCTCGTTTAGGGCTCATGAGATATCTCAACATAGTGGCTAGAGAGCCAACTCGATTACTGACTTATGAGCGAATCAATATATATTTTATGAGTTTAATTCATATGTTGTTAAATTATATATCTCACCCTATATGAAGTTTAACATGTTGAGTATGTGAGCAAATATATCTTTTTTTTTTAAATGTATTGTAGATTGTTTCGATATTATGGAATAACATTATTTGGACTAGTTAAAATTTATTAACTTAATAATATGATACCAACCAAGTATAATATGAGATTAGTTAATATAGAACATTTGACTATTATTATTCCCAGGAGGCGGCTTATGACGTCGTTGTTACGAATAGCCATGGTCGAGTGTGTGATGGGAAAGCTGAGCCCCTGCACTGTTTTTCCCCACTTGAAGCAGAAGCTAAGGCCTTACTGGAGGGCTCCCTTTTGGCTGCTAATCTCCGTTCGCCCTGCCTTGTCCGATCTGACTGTCTCTCCCTGATTCAAGCACTTCAGGGTTAGCCTGGGTTATGGCCATGGCATGCAGCAACGTGGCTGGGCATCATCAAGCAGACCATTGACGCCCACCCAATGGTCAAGATCAACCACATCAATAGGACGAATAATTCCAAAGCGAACTGGGTAGCTAGGTCTTGTGCAAAGAATCAGCTGCCCCATGAACGGTTTCAGATTCTTGATGTTGTTGCTCCCCTCTTGTAACCCTTGACTTTTGCCACAAGTAATGGAAAAACTTTGCCCTTTGTCAAAAAAAAAAAAAAAAGGTTATGGTATAGTACCATATCCCGAACTCCGATCAATGATTTGTATATCATTTTCTTATACAGGGTATTACATACATTTGATTGTACTCAATTTACAATAGAACCATCCATATAACCCTTCAAACCATCAATTAGTCGAAGTTTGGGGTATGATGTTTTATATAGGATATGACATAACTTTAATCACAGTCTCTAATTATCTAACCCAAACCATAAAATCCATTTAGTCTAACAATAATAACCGATGTTCTGATTCGTCAAAATACATCAAAGTGCATCTAATAAGTGCAAACATATACGTATAACATACGCCAGACGTACTCTAGCCTTTGTCATATGTATATAGTTGGTTCAACAGTGCCCTAAACAGTAAAAATAAATGTGTATAGCTTATACATTCGATGGTCGAAGTGTTGCCCTCTTAACCACATATCGGGGGATCACCTTGCGCCCTCGAATCCCACGACTTCGAATAATCTATCTTCAAGTCAGAGCAACACTCTCCCTTGCAATCGATGTAGAAAGGGACACTAGGACGAACGGGATGATCAAATGTCAGTTGGCAATTAGAACAGCAGAACAGAATTTAGTGTCAGCAGCATCCTCTTCCTCTAGTATAAAAAAACACATGATAGTTTTTGCCGCTCTTTCCTGTTTTAGTGAGAAAGTGCGTAAATTATTTATCAATGGACCTGAAAATCAGCATACAAAGTCTCATAGCTTGGTTTCTTCTGGATCGCCATTTTGGACACTGCTGGCGGCATTGCTGGGAAAACCTTGAGCGCCATGTTAATTTGGATGTGAGAATTTCTTCCTCAAACGTTTTCTGCAAAAAAGTAGAAATGAAAGTGAGAAATCAAAAGGACGACAGAAGAAGCGTGCCTAATAATGAAAACAAACATATATACACCGATCGATCATGCAATGACCGTAACAAAAAAGCAGCTGAGCGTGAGCGAGAGAGCAAACTTTTCCAGAACAATCTCCTCAACCGCTAATCCGGACTACTGATCCCGATCCCTTCCTCTCCGAAAAGATCAGATCGAATCGCGATACAGAGAGCCTGAATAGCAATTGAGGGAGAGAGTTCAGAGAAAGTTTTGGATCTCTTTTGTCATATGATGAAATGATTTTACTGCTGTACAAACTGCTAGGGTAAGGCTGCTATGGATTTTATATGTAGAGAGAGAGGAAATAACGATAATAATGGTTGAGTTGAGGGAGTCATTATTGTATCCACAAAGAAACCGTCGTGTGTATCAACCTTCAGTGTCGAGGACAAGATAATATTCTTCCCACCCTGCTGCTGCTGCGGCAATCAGTTGGTGCAAAACTCCAAATTCAGGGCCAAAGGGTTTCTCCGTAATCAAATTCCCATGCAATGCAAAAAGGAGATTGGGGAAGGAAGAGGACAAATTTGGGTGAGTTATTAAAATTGAAATAACCGCTTTCCATTATGGACAATGAAATTTATGATTGACATAAATTGCGAATTTGCTTATTCACGAGATTTGGACTTTTTTGTGTTTTTGTTTTGATAAAGACCTCTTATTCAGGCTGTCAAATCGGTTTATGCCAGTGTGCCGGTTTAACAGGTGGAATGGTTCGACCGGTGGCACATACTGGTTTGTGTCGTTTCATGCCGGTCAATATTATAAATAAATTTATAAATGCTCATATTTTAAATATGACATTTAACGCCAATACCTAAACATTTGTACTTGAATCCAACAAATAACATCAATATTTAACTTTCATACTCATATAATAAATAATAAAATAATTTGTATCAATTAAATTCACTAAAATAAGGTCATTTTACTTAGAGATTCGTATATCGACCATGCCGGTCATACTAGTGATGTCACACCGATTTTGTAACCGGTATCGGTTGAACCAAGTTCAACCGGTGACACGCCGACCGTCGTGACAACTATGCCTGTTTTAGAGTACAACTCGAGGAGTGGGGGAAGAGGGATTTTTTCATGTTTCTGGTGCGATTTTAAAGATTTTTTATATAATTTTTGGTGTTTTTGTCTATTTTATGAGATTAGTGATTGGTTACAAAGATTTGTGGCATGCATTGTGATTTTTTTTTACATGCATTGTTTAGTACAAAAAGAAATCTTGGGAACATACATTCATCTTCATCTTGATCGTCAAAAGCTGCTACAATGGCTAGCAGGTGTTAAGCATCCACCAAGCACTTAGGAACTTCTTCAAATAGGAAATTCCTCCATTGTTACTTAGTGCCAAAAATCTTGATTAGATGAGGAAGACAATAACGCTATTATTAGTTTAAAAAAAATAATACTAATTCTCTAATTATCCGTTACCACCTTATAAGTGTTAACAAACTAATTATCCTAATAGATTAATCTGAGGAGCAGGAATAACTTAATAAATTTTTTATATTTCCTCCTTAGAAGCGAAGCGAACGAGGTCCTGCCTAGCTGGTGAATCGGCACACTTCCCATTGTATGATTGTGTATTTGATTCCCAATGACGACACTTACCCTTTCCCCTCTGGTAGCACTTGTAACAGGTTATTATCAAAAATAATTCCTCCTTAGGACTTGAACTGAGTCCAATAGATTACATGCTTGCATATCAAACAGATTTCACCTATGTATCAGGCTAGAGTTAGGGTGCTAACACCTGATTTGATACCATGGTACTTGCACTGATTCAAGGAAATCATCGTTCTTCTGCCGGGATATAGCGACGGAGGAGAGGAGTTGTTTTGGAAAGAAATGGGCAGGATCGTAGCAGCGGTTACCAAAATACTCTTAATAATTTCTGTTAGCAACAATGCTAACACGCCCACTACTATATCCTGGAAACAATACGGCATGATACTCAACAGAGTTTCTCAAACCATGTCAAACCAGAGCAAAACTGTATCATGGAAACAATACGGCATGATCCTCGACAGAGTTTCTCGAACAGTCTCAAACCGGAGCAAAACGGTGAAACGCAAAAGGTATGCAGACATACCTATATTCAACTCAAATAAGTTGGATCAACAATGCTTGCTGTTCATCAAATCATCTAGCAAGTTGGGATTATCCAGGGCAAACTTACTTTAGATAAGCCTCATGAATCATGAGAGATCAACTCTTCATCTAACAAAACTATGTGCTCCCCCCCTAAAAACCTGAAGGGGCTGGAATTTGCAGTCTATATTATGCAAGTCCCAAAAGAACCAATTGTATTTTCCTACTTGACTTACTAGTCTCAAATATTATTCGTCGTCATCGTCACCACCCATTACTGGCATCTGGCGAAGGGTGCTTTCCTACTCGAGCTGTAGCCTCTTTTTCATTGCTTCATAAACCATATATGTTATGCTTGCAGCAGGTACAACCTTTAGGAGATTTGGGAACAGCCCTTTGTACAAGCCTCTGTAACCTTCTTTCTGAAGTGTCCTCAAAAATACATCAGACATTCCTTTATATGGGGCAGCATCATTGGCTTGTTGAGCTTGCATTCTGGCAAATAATAGTGAGAATGAGTGATCAACCGTAAATTCTGTGGTGAAAAGCAGTGGATCAATCTAAAATCAAAACACATGTACAATGTCGTCGCGCAAGCCAAAGAAAAGGAACAACAAAGTGGAGTAGGAGACAACATGTTTCTGATACAAAGTACAAGTATATACCTTGTCCGGACGACCTGCAAGGGGTAGACACAGGTTGCCCCAAGAGCCCCGGAGATTGTACCACACCCCAGTTGAACAAGAGGCCCCGGTTCTGCAAGGGCGAGAAGTTTTTGGTTAGAAAATCTCGTACACTCAGTAGAAAATTGAAGAATATGGTCAATGGAGACAACAAGAAAAATACCACTATCCTGTAGAAGATAAGTCTTCGACATATCCTTCAAGGTCTCATAAGCAGCAAGATCAATGCCAGCATAAGGAACAATACCAAGAAGTGAAGGGACGAGACCCTTGTAGAAGGCTCGAGGCCCTTCATGTACCCAGATGTCCCTAGTTAGTGTTCCCAATTTAGGTGCTTTTCCACCTTCACACGGATGAGTTTGTAATCGAGTTTTCACAAGATCCATTGGGTAGATGGCAGTCTGTGATACCGCACCTGCCAATCCACCAGCCATAAGTCTACCAGATGCACCAATGTCGACATCCTGTCCCCCTTTGAAGTCTCTAATAACATTCTTCAGCATCTCATAAGTATAAAACTTAATAGCACTCTCAGGAGCCACCTTCGTCACGTTCAACCCATTACCTCGAAAAAACCCACGGAAACCATCATCCCTCCATATCTTCTTCACAGCGGGTACAATAGAAGCACGAGTTGTCTGAACTTGCAAAACAACCTTCAGGCGATCAAGAGGGGCAGTTGCAGTGCGTGAAGCTGCACCAGCTATTCCCCCTGCAATGAAATATTTACTCCTATGGACCTGCTTACTGACGCCTTCAGGAATAACAGCATGTTCTCCAATGTCTACAAGACAGACCCTCTCCCAATAATGATATATGTTTTCAATGGTAGCTTCATGTGGATATAGCAAGAGAAAATCTCTCCATTCCTCAAAGGTTATTATCCCATCATTATCTTTATCAACATGCTCTACAAAACGTGCAAGTTCCTCATCATCAATTTGAATGCCTGCAAAATAGGAGCTGCCGTGGCTTATAAGATGAACACAATAGGGCAAGTCAAGGACATGGTGTGGAAACTACATACAACAGAAGGCACACAATGATAAGGAACATCTAGATAAGAATAAAGATCTCCATAAGAAGAAACAACAAAATTGCAAACTTGTCAAGGTAGGCCAGTATAACAGAACTACTGTTGATGTATTTAAAGAAATGATACGGCAAAGAAGCTTAGCGGGGAACTTTGAACCAAATAATTCAAGCAATGATGGCAGCGATTCGACCTATGAATATTGTGAATAAGCAATTACAAGGTAAAAAATGTAGCCTATCTACATCAAAGATAACAAGGAAACATGAAGCAACAACTGAAATAAGTAAAAACAAGGTTGATCAAGAACTTTTCAGCATTTGAAGGCCTCCTTGCACATACTTCCTACCAGATGCTTGTATTTACAATTAGCATATTGCATATAGGAGAAAACATAAAGCAAGCTTTCGAATCAGTAGAAACATGGTTGAACAAGAACGTTTCAGTCAAAGACCTTGCTCATACTTCCAACCACCACTTCACCAAGTCTCAAATTCTTACCAAGTGCTTGTATCCACAAATCGAATTTCACTGAAAGAACGTTGTCCCAATGTTTCATCTAATTATTTCACAATTTCAGATAGTACACACCCTGACTTTCCAGTCCCAGATGCTGATAGGACCACATAGTAGCAAAAAGGCCAAAGCACTGGATTTACCTTGGTAAACTCTAAACAACCATGAAAAAGAGCAAAGGCCAAACCACACCACCAATACCTAAGAATTTCCAAAACTAAGTAGGCACATAGATGATCCTTAGGATTCTTAGGTCGTGACTGTACATTACAGACTCGTCAAATTCACATCCCCTACTCTCATTGTCATTTCTTTCTCTCGAGTTTACCTTCTGCAATTCCGACAAGGGCATGAACAACGAAAGTACATTGCTCAACTACCTCTGCAAGGGAGTCTAGAGTCTAGACAGCAAAACAGTATTATTTCATGGAGTAATATGACTCGACCCATATATAAAACTCCACCTATAGACATGTGCCACTGATGAGGCAAAAGTCATTGACCACAATGAGTTTACAACACCCGATTGATGAGAGACCATGAAACAAGCTAAACATTACTCAAAAGCAGAGGAGTTGGATTAGTACCAGACTTAACAAGCGCATCCCAAAGCTCCTCGGGCAAAATGCACCCATTATGTTCCACATCAATTGCTTCAAAAATCCTGTACAACTCGAGCTCTTTATCATCCATGTACCTCTTGAACTCTGTGTAATCCACCCGCCCATCCCTATTCGCGTCGCATACCTTCAACAAATCCCTGGCATATTTATACTCTGGTGGAATCTGCAGCGCAGAGAGACCGGTCTCTATCTGGGCGTAATCCAAGTAGCCAGCATTCCCAACATCGAAGAAATTGAACAAACTCCTAATCCTAACATCCCTCTCTTCCTTGGTCTCCCTGAGAGCCAGTAGCACATGCTCCATGGTCCCAGCAGGACCCGATTTCTTAATGGGGCCGCGGCGGTTCGGATTGTTCGCTTCCATCTTCGGCAACCCTTGTTGTTGGTGATGGTGTTGGCGGTGCTGTTCCACTGCGTGACCCGCCCCCGACATCGGAAAAGAGAAGCGAAAGAACGAACCCCAATCACAATCCTGCGAGCGCTAACTCCCGCGACGGCCTGGCATCGAGAAGGCTTCGGGCGGAGGGGGTTTAATCGGTTTTGCACAGATCTCAATACCCAGCAATGCAATTTGGATGGGAGAAAGCAAAATCGTTTGACCCAAACAAACAAAATTGATTGTGGGCTATGGGTTTCACGCCATGAATGCAGGAAAGAGGATTCCAGCACAATGAAAGACGAGAAATTTGCGCGTGCCCAAAAGAGGAAAGAAATAGAAGAAGAGCGCCGGTTTGGAGGGGGATCAGTATCGCAACCCGGCTCGCTCCATTATCGGGAAGGAAAAGGAAGATGGTAAAGGCGCTGGGAGATAATGGGTATTTTCCGCCCGAGAGAAGGAAGATGGGCGGTGGGAGGGTGGTGACGGAAGGAAGGAGGGAGGGTTGTTCAGACGGGATCGCCGTCCATGTGTTTGATGAAATGCGCGTGAGAAAGACGGAGGTCTGAGGGGGGGAAGGAAGAGATAGAGAGATAGCTTTACAAAGATCAAGGAGAGATGGAGGGGAGTTACTGTGGCGTTGTCCTGCAAATTTCAATGGAACCTAATTCTGCATTCCACAAGATTACAGCTTTATTTACCTGATAGATTTAGAAAAAGAAGGAAAAAAAAAAATCGTTGGCTGTGTTGGGGAAGAGGGACCCAGGAGCAAGTGAGGAGAGGGATATTCTTCAAAGTGTCTGGTTCCAATTCGCCAAAACTGGATTGAAGATCAAAGATTAAATGAAATTTTGTCTTTCTATTTTTTTTTTATTAGTTCATTTTAACTCAAATTTTAAAAAATTGTGCACAAATAAGTCGTTTATTTCTTTTAGTTACGATTCACTTGACTATGAAGCGAAAAATCAGAAAACAATGCTACAATCCTATAAATACTTTGCTTTTGAAATAAGAGAACAATAGTGTGGTTCACTGGTAGTTAAAGCGGTCCATGGTAAATCGCTTTGCTCTTTTAGCGATTAACTGAAAATCACTTAACTTGACTTGACTTGCAAGTCATGTTAACAAAGTCGCGAGTTTGTTTTGGTGATAAAAAAAGCTAATTAGCTTGTTTTTGCCCATGAACAATGTTAGATAGCTTATGTCTGCTGTAAACCAGAGCAACTGTTCATTCAAGAGTCAAGCGAACATCTCAACTCTAGTATTTTGAGAAATAGAGAATTGTGTTTTACTAAATGTTGTATTTTGTGGAAATCCATCATCACTAGACTAAAAAATGAAACAAAATGCATGGTTTTGCACAGATAAAAATCTCATTTTAAGTTCTCATGCTTCCCTGCACGAATTTAGATATAAAACACTACAATAACACAATATTCTTGTAAATATCTATACAGTGACCATAGTTTGGATAATATATTTCGAGCATACCATATTGGTGCCATTTGACCTCCTCCAAACTAGCGGAATCTGAAACCCTAGAATAACTTGTGATACAAGAAAATCCCATCTTGGCTCGTGCATGGTGGATCTACTCCCAGCGCACCGAGCTTTTCCGCCGAGACTTCTGCTGTTTTGCCTGTATACCCAGATCCACTTTGATCTGAATGGCAGCTCTTTCAACATACAATTGTGGAATATGCTACTAGTCCACTCCCATCTCCTTCATCGATTATTCGACTCTCGTTGCGTATATGCTATACTTCGCAATCTAATGCGTACAATTACAACAACTGTACCGTAGAACTAGGCCATAACGCGGTGGTAGCCACTTTCAGCCCCCTCCTTCCTCGCGAAAGACAACACTCCAACACCAATGGCCACTGCCACTGCCACTGCCATTAGTCCAAACAGAGCTACAGCATACCATGAACTCAAGCTCAGATAATCACCTATCTGCAATAACAGTAGCAACCCATGAAAGAGGTTCATCAGTCCATAAGGGAGTTCAGAAAATGTTTCTCAAGGCTCTTAAAGTACATTATTTCCTTGTTAACTTACGGAAAAAGGAGCGCCCAAGAAAGGGAAGGCTGATGGAGTTTGGTCCGCAACCAAAATGTAGAAAAGTCCCATCACTCCGGTATGGCCTCGCTCGCTGGTAGAAGTGTAGTTAGATTCCAGAATCAGCTCTTCTCCAGCTGCTAACTTCACTGATCCAAACTTCGGGTAACAAGTAGTCATGCCTACAATATAACCATCTTCATTCCCAGGCTCGTTTCCAGTTCCATAAATTGGAACTGAATGGCATATAACTCGTCCATCCTGAACTCGCCACAAAAGCAAACCATCAAATGCCAGATCATTGAGATATAAACGTCAAGAAGCTGAATTCAAATAACAATCCTAAGTCATCATGCTAAAAATAACAAGTTTGGCAAGTGAAGAGAATACAAGGAGGGAGCATGTAAAAAAGAAATTGGAGGAGCTTGAGATCCACCTTTCCATACAGAGTTGAACCAATCCCTCCAGTATGCTGATGAGCAACGCTGTAGACGATATAACCACCGGATGGCATTGTAAAGTTCCTCCTTTTCACATCGACACACCACCCATGAGCCCTGCACGGCTCAATGTCATACTCAATCTGTAAGGAAAAATATCCCTAGTCAGCTTCTTAAATGCATATGGAACCATGTGCTCTCCCCTTCCAAAAAGGGCTTCAACATTTGAGACTAAAAACACCCAAAAGAATGTAATCACACATCCAATTCATCTAATGAAATACATCTCTCGATGTCTTGATTAAGTAAATCAAAGTAAGTTATCCAGTAATGAACGAACAAGGTCGACGATTTACCTGGCAGCCATTTTCTGGACCGAACCCTGTGGAACCACCGTTCCTTTTACCAGTATCAGTGACATCGAATATGTAGATCTTGACAGGGAGAATCCCAATGTCCCAATCAACCCACTTCACAGTATAACGAAGGTACAGGTTTCTCCTTGGAGCCACAAAACCTTGTTCAACCCTGCACTCCGTGTGCCCAAAGCAACAAAATAGACCTCCTCTATAATCATTGCGCAAAAATCGAGCAACTCCAGAGGTATTGTACAGTTCACAGAGGCACTCTGTGCATCCCAACCGGTCTTCGGCACCCCTCGTGTCAATAGCATGGACATTAAGCATCCAACCCTCTTCATACCCATCAGGGATTTCAGCAGGATTTCCAACTTGGATTGCATAAGGATCCGGAACATATGTTGATGTCCTACGAGTCTCCGACCCAAGACCATTCGACTGTCTATTTATCCCATTCTGACAGAACCCATCATTCCTCACATAAGTAACGTCCTTCCCACTAAGATTAGGATCTCTAGCCTTCTCCCTGGGGACATGGTATCTCTCAACAAGCCAGTGATGAAGGTAAGTCTCGTAGAGAGGGACAGAGTTACCAGCTTCATCCACAACTTCTGCATCAAAACTCTTGAGCCCAATGTGGCCTCTAGGGAAATCAATGTTGTAAAAGAAGTTGTTCTCCACTGATCCTGGCCCTAACATAAATTTTGGTGACAAAAAAGTTGCAGACTTGATGGTGTGGCCATTTCCCAGAGAAGCTTGTGAGGGAGCAAGTGATGTGGTGATCAGCAACAACAACAGCAAGTGGATATGATGAGAATGTTCCATGTTTCCCAGTCACGATGTCTCCAAAAATTAAGCTAGCCCTACATCAGGTCAAAAAGCTAGTTATAGGCTTTCTAGCAATAGCCATATCGCTTCTTGATGTTATACTGAAATGTTCAGAAAAAAGGACAATTGAAAAGGAAAGCAACAGAATTACAAGAACAGACACCCAATTTGTGTACTCGTCGTTGAACAAGAGAAATTCAAGCAGATGGGCGAGAAACCCATCCAAGCAATTCGGTAGTGGCCGGGAGAGGTGAAACCAGAGAAGGGTAAGAGAAGGAAGCAAAGGGCAACTTACCTAATTACTTTTGCACCCAGCAGCTACAGCAGTGGAGTGACGACGCGAGCATGGAAACCTGTGGTTCCACCGCTAAGCTCAGGCACTCGAGAGATAACTGAAGATTGAAACGGGTTGGATTATTCTCCTTTTGTAGCATCGCTGAACGTGTGACCATTATATATTGGGTTTCGTGGAGGATTGTGTAGCACTGTCATTCTGCCAAAAATATCCACCTTTTTTACCCAAAAAAAAATATCCGCCTTAAATCAATCCATTGGGGTAGATACATGCATTGTAATATACATGCAATTTAGGAAAATGATGTAATGTACTTTACATTGTTTGGTTTTGGTGATAGTTGTTTTAATATTCAACATGCTATATTATTTTTTGTGAGAAATATCATTTTTGCCATTGCTTTTACGAGACTATATATATATATATAGTGGCATCTTCGGTGCACTCACTTTTTTGGGTGCATTCAGTGCACTCGTTTCATAACCGTCATTTTAAACATGCAATTTATGTGAAAATGATGTCAATCATCACTTATGATATGATGAACAATAACGCACATGAATTTGCACAAAACCCATTAAAGATTTACTTTAATTTGAAGGATTTAGAGTTTAGAGATTTAGGGTTAGGGTTTACAATTTGGGGTTTAGGGATAGAACTCAAAATTGGAGGTCTATGGCTTAGGGTAATCCGCTAATTAGTTGTTATCATATGTTATATCATCATATTACACTAATTCTACAAATTAAAATTCAAAATCCGACACTTTAAGACTAGTTTTTGAGTTGGGTGCATTGAACGCACTCATTTTGTTGAGATTGTTTGGAACAAAAAGGGAACCAAACAATCTCAACAATCACAAGTTTTAGTAGAGATAGTACTATCACTTATTTTGAGTGATAGTTTCCATCACATCAAATGCAGGAAATTAAAAAAAAACAATGCATTGTAACTATCTCAATCAAACAATCACAAAAACCAAACGATCCTTAGATTTTTGTAATTGACTTTTTCGATTGAACCACGGACACGACTATCGTTTTACAAACACAAATTTGCATAGAGAGACTTAGCAAATGAGTCGAGATAAGTCCGAGTTTGAACTAATTCAAATTTAGATTGTTTATTGAAATATTGATTTGTGCTTTGCCTAAATAAAAAAAAATATATGTATTGGTTCTCGCTCTAAATTTGCTCATTAATGACCTCAAGAGTTTTTTTTTTTTAGTTTGGATGATCAATCAGCTCACAACCACTCGCACTCAATTCGTTTATCATTCAAAATAGCCGAATCCATAAATTAAACGCTAAAGGAATTTGCGAATGAAATATTTTAATATTTGTATGTTTATATGATACATGTAGAAATATGTATTTTTATCTCTTATTCAACGAAAGCATTCTCTCTTATTTCACTACGTCTACAAGTGAAGTACTCTATATATTTATACAATGATGTTAAGAGAAGAGGAAAAGAAAGAGTAAAGGCTAGCTAGCACCTAAGTCGCACATGGTTTCCAATAGATAAGGAGATATTGGAGGAATTAATGAAGAACATGGAGGGGAAGGTAGGCGTTGGTTGTGCGTGGAGTAAATGATGGTGGCCTGAGCAATATGAGGAATGATAATTAGTAGCGGCGGATTCAGGATTGGGTAGAGCACTGGACCATATTGGAAAAACAACAGATAGGGTTGGACCGTAACACGACGAACGCTGAAATGAACACCAAAAATGGAAAATTCACAAGTTTTATATTAGCTTCAGATCGAGGGAGGGCCCGGCCGTGGCCCGGGGGCGGCCCCCTAGATCCGCCGCTGATAATTAGTACGCTTATGGGTAGTAATTGCTATGTGTATGGTTGTTGTCTCCCACACTTCTCTTCAAGTTGGTGCATGAAGATTGCAAATGCCTAATTTGGATAGTAGATATTATGTCAAAGTGAGATCAATTGTTCATTAATGATATAGCAATCCATATCGCTACATGTTTGGTGCGTTCATAGAATACAGAGTTTAGCAACAATGTGATGTGTGGTTTGGTTGAAATTGAGGTGGACCAAGTTCATTTGGAAGCCATTGCAATCAAGAGGAGTTCAACGACGGTACTAGTCATCACTTATGACGCAATGTTCAGCTTCTAGCGAGAAGCGAGCGACGATACCTTTTCGAAACTGGTACCGTTAAATACAGAGATTGATTGACAGGACAATACCTTTTTCCAAACTTGTTTAGCTTTGATTCTAAGTAGCAAATGATTATCCAATGCTAACAGTTTTGATCACTGCTTCTTCTTTCATGAAGACGTGGATTTTGCAATATATTATCCACTTGGTAGGTTTTCCATCTTGTAGGTCTGTTTCATTTGTTAGTGTTGTGGTATATGATCCACGATTGAACCTCTCCCAACAACTCGAGTTATTGGGATCAACTGGTTCTTGACATGGTATCAGAGCCTTCTGTGACCGAGAGGTCTTGTGTTCGATTCCCGGTGACCCTCATTTGTTAAGCACATGGTATTCTTGTCTTCAGACCTGTGCAAACTTCAAGCCCTTGTGAGTGATAATCAGCCAATTTTTCATCGTTACTATCTCAACAGTTAGGTTCAATATGATGTATATCTCACCACTGCAAATTGGTTCAATCCTAGTCTCAACATCACTTTATTCTCAACCATCACATCACATCTCTACTTGTAAAACGTATAACTAAAAATGCTCATCTATGATAATAGACAGCAAGTATACAAGGAGATCACTCCTTTTCCCCTCTACGCCATAATTACATGGTACCCATCTTCAGTTTCCCTCCGCTTCTTCAGCCAAATGCTGAAGCCAACAGCAACAACCGCCAATCCTAACAGAGAAAGGATTGTCCAGGTCCATTCACTAGATCCACCGAATACCTGCAATTTGGGAGAGATTCAGGTTTCCGCTAAACAATTCCAATCACATAATTGGATACTAAATTACTTGGTTTGAATGGATACTTACAGAAACAGAATGGTGGAGCAAACTTATGGCTGGTGGTGGTGCTTGGTCTGCAACCATTAAGTAGAAGAGCCCCATAACTCCGGTGTGCCCTCTGGTGTTGGTGCTCGAATAGTTCGATTCCAGAACGAGCTCTTCCCCAGCTGTTAGCTTCAATGACCCTGGCTCAGGGTAGCAAGTGCTCATGCCTACTATGTAACCAGCCTCGTTCCCAGGCTCGTCTCCTGTTCCGTACATCGGTACTGAGTTGCATACAACTTGTCCATCCTAACAAAGATCAAGAACACCCCCCCAATTATATACAAAACTGGACATCACTTTGAGCCAAGCATATGCTTTCTAGATTGCACAAAATCACAGTATGGGAAAGCATAATCTACCTTTCCATACAGAGTCGAACCAATTCCACCAGTGTGCTGGTGGGCAACACCGTATACGACATAACCAGTTGTTGGCAGAACCACATTTGTCCTCTTGACGTCAACACACCAGCCATGTGCATTACATGGCTCAACGTCATACTCAACCTGGCACCAAACACTCTCCATCAGTCACAGTACAATCAAAATATGTATGCAAGGCAACTACACAATCTTACAACAACAACAATGTAAACACCAGCAAAGAAAATAACAGAATCATCTTACCTTGCAACCATTTCCTTGACCTTCTGCTGTGGAAGAACCAACCTGCCTTTCCCCAGTATCAGTGACATCAAAGATAAAGATCTTCACCGGAAGAATCTCGCTGTCCCAGTCGACCCATTTCACCGTATACCTGAGATACAGACTCCTCCTCACAGCCTGAAACCCTTCTTTCACCCTACACTGAGTATGATCAACACAACAATGCAGACCTCCCTTGTAATCAGAACGCAAAGACTCATCTTTCGTCACATTGTACAACTCGCACAGACATTCTGTACACCCCAATCGATCCACAACTCCCCTCGTATCGATGGCATGGATGTTCAGCAACCACTTCTCTTCATACCCTTCTGGAATCTCAGCAGGATTCCCAACCTCAATACCATAAGGATCGGGAACTTGAGTGGGCGTCTTCCTGGTTTCGGACCCAAGTCCATAGTACTGGCCAAGAGTATCTCCCTGACATATCCCACTGTTCCTTACAACCGTACCAGTCTTGTTGTTACTCCTTGAAGCCTGGTACCTCGCCAGAACCCAGTGGTGAAGATAAGTTTCGTGGAGAGGGATGGAGTTGCCAGCTTCATCAACAACTTCAGCATCGAAGCTCTTGATGCCGATATGACCAGTAGGGAAATCGATGCTCGTGTAGACTCGATTCTCCACCGAGCCCGGTCCTAGTACAAACCCAGGAGACAGAAAAGTTGCGGATTTCAGATTGTACCCATTTCCCAGCACAGCTCCTGACGCAATTACCAGAAGCAGCAAGTAGCATCGAGGGTCCATATTTGCCCTGTCGTGATAATCAATTGGGCGCAGGTCAGAACTAGTCACAGTTCAAAGAAAAGGTAACAAAATCAAATCCAATCCAAGATATTCCCCACCCATGAAAGGAAATGGGCAGTCCACAGAAAGCTATCAAATCCGAACGATTCATGGGCGTAAAAGAAAGAAGAAAAGGCATACCGAGAGTGATCACCAGGTGGAGTAATGACCAATGAATGAACCGTCTGCTGAGAAGAGGAAGAAGAACCAAATCGGGATTTATATAAAAAGAAGAGAAGTTACTGCTCAATGGGAATACGTAAGAACCAGTGGATCCCTTGTGTTTGGAAGTTTGTAGGAAGATTTTTTTGGGGGGGTTTCCAGTCCATTTCCATCCAATCAGATAAGCAGAGTCGTGGAGGAAGGAGCTTCTCCTTCTCGTCTCTGCCCATTTTGGGGTGCCGGCCGGGTGACGTCATGCATTGCACCATCGTCTCAGAGGATTTTGGGCGGATGACGACTGAGCTGACGAAGAAACGGCCACAAGAGTTAAGCGGTTCTAGCAATTTGTAGGCTCTGGGTGGTTCATACGGAGACAGATGCCGGCCGATTGGTGCTGATAGACTTCTGGGTTTTTCTACTTTGTGGACAAATCCTCGTGTGAAATGTGAATACTGAATAGTGTGATGCTGATTGGCAGAAACAAGGACAGATTATTGATTGGGAAGTGGGAACCAAAGGTCAAAAATGACCAAGTGAGGAAAAAGTACTGAAAGCTTAATCCGGTATGGGGTTTGGACATCTGAATGGTTAAAGGTCGTCCTAAAAATTACTAACCAAAATTACTAACCATCGTCCTAACTTAATATGTAATTTACCAAATTGTCCATTTTGAATTTCAAAATCAAACACAAAACAAACAACTTCTCTCCTTCCATAAATCTAAAAAAATATATAAACCAAAATTCAACAAATTATCTTATGGACCGAATCATAAATCTTAGTAAAAGAATAGAAAATTATTGATATAAACCAAACAAATCCAAAAAAAACCAAAACCCCTCAACCGAAGTCAATTTTCGGTTGTACCATGGCTCAACCTAAGGCAATTTTCGATTGTACCATGGACCAACCGAAAATCACCTTCGGTTGGTCCATGGTACAACCGAAAATTGCCTTAGGTTGAGCCATGGTACAACCGAAAATTTGCTTCGGTTGAGGGGTTTTGGAATTTTTTTAAAAAAAAAAACAGATTTTTACATCGTCGGAGTCGATACTCATGATTCGGACGTATTCTCAACGATTACGAATCGAGAATGTCAACGATGAATTCGAAAGTGTGGGAAATTGAGTGTTTTTCATTTTTTTTAGTTAAAGTGATGTTTGTTTGCTAAAAATGCCAAAAGGTTAAAAGTGTAACTTTGTTATTTTTTAGGACGATCAATAGTAATTTTAAGGACGACCTTTATCAATTCCCTTGGACATTTGGTAAAACGGGCTCGGAGACAGTTGGCATGAGGTTGTCCATGTAATTCTAGAGCAAGGTTGTCAAACCGGTTTATATCGTTGTGCCGATTTAGCAAGTGGAATGGTTCTACCGGTGGTACAATCGGTTTGTGCCGGTTCGTGCCAGTTAATAAAATATATGTTGAAATGTCAAAAACCAATGGTGTCAAATGAATTCAATCATGTATAAACCATATTTGAAGACAGTTTACGTACAATTCATATTGATATTGAAATAAAATGTGTTATTTTCAATAAAATTACATGTACTTATATTTAAAACGACATTATTTTATATAAAAATTTGCAGATCAATCATGTCGATCATACCGATAGTGTCATGCCGATTTCAATGCCAAAACCAGTTGAACTAGGTTCAACCGGTGGCATGCCGGGCGACATGACAACCATGGTCTAGACTGTAGAGCTCTAGTGATTTGTTGGTTTCACGACTATTAAGCCAAAAAGTTATCTAAACGTGTATTTAGGTGCATGACCATTAACTTAGGTACTAGACTAGAAGATTCTTGCATCATAACATGATTAGGGGAGTAAATGAAGGTTCCTTTCACTCAATTGCATGTAGTGCTAGAGGAATACCTATCCCAAGTACCACATCTCTATTGCTTTAGTTTCTAAGTGTGTAACATATTTTTACCAATCAATCAATCGGTTAGATAATAATGAAGGCTTGAAGTAGTGATAGATTCGATAATCCGTGGAAATACGATCTCTAGGGTTACCTCTGTACTACTTCGACAGCCTATGTCGCACTTGTCATAGGTTGGAGTAGCTAGAATACTTGACTACCGACTTTTGTGTAGCTTGTGTGCACCAATTGGATCATTGTGAAAAAAATGCGTAGATACTAGTTTAATCATTTACTTTCTTGCACTTTTATTTTTATTGTTGCTTTGCATTTTATTCTCTTGTGCGGGCGTTTGCTAAATATGTGTAGCTATGACATGTGTGAATGTAATAGACAGTTTTGATGGTCAAGAGTCACATCCACAAGTGAGAACCGTGAGTTTTTACTTTCGACAAAGAGTTGAGGATATCCAATCTTCAATGAAACATTCGGAGAACCTTCCTTTTGTGATAAAGACGAGTGTAATGAGTTGTTTCCCCCTCCCACTAGGCCCGTCCAATGAATCGTGGATGCCATATTCTAGAATTAAGATGTGGTTCATTTTTCAAGTATAATAAAATAAAAATAGTCATAACATCAATTTTTAAATAATAATTTAAAATAAAATTATCTATTAGCTCTTCAAGTTTTGTATCGTGTGACAAATCATCTTCAATCATCATCGTTAAACCATTAAGAAACTTATGAATTCTTATGTATAATAGATTGATTATGATTATGATAATGTATTTAAATATGTTAGTTAATACTAGTCCCGTCGGACCACACACCCCATTGATCATCCCTGCCTTCTACCATATTTATTATTACTACTTGAGGAAATAAATTAAAATACCAAAAAAGTTACCACAACTTGACTATTAAAAATTGAATCATTTTATTGAGTGATAAACTGGGATTGAAATTGAATACTATTGTATTGTATAGTGTTTATTTTGCATGTTTTTTTTTTAAATTTTTATAGAAATTTATTTTTCATTTTACTACAAGGTATAGCTGTAAACTATTATTTTATTTTATTTTTTTTTTTTTTTTGACAAAAGATAATCATATATATTAGATCAAAAAGATAGTTACATCCTGGAGATCAGCCAGGTCTGAAAATCAAAGTGACGGAGCATAGCCGGGTACAGAGAAAGGGCCTTTCGAGCCACCAAATGGGCTACCCTATTAACACGCCGACCTACAAACCGTACAGAAAACCCAGGAGAACAGGACAAATAATGCAGCACCTCTTCCAGAATAGCTCCTATCCTGCCATCCCTAACCTCCTTCCGCTGGAGCTTCTCAATGACGACCTTGGCATCGCCTACAAACCTCACGACAGCAAACCCATGCCCAATGCACCAAAGAATCGCGCTCCTTAAAACTAGCAATTCCACCACCAGAGGGTCATCAATGACAGGGATATGGAAACCAGATGCCATAATGATATTCCGATTCCGATCCATTAGCACCATCCCACCTGCAGAATGCGACCCCCTCCGCACCGCCCCATCCCAACCACAGAAAACGTCTGAAACCTCCTCCTGGGTCGCCTGATGGTCCACAGCAGCAGTAGGGTGCGGATCCGCTTTATCCCTCGGGAGGCGCATCCACTCCTCATACTGTTGCAGGAGCTGACGCATCAGTGCCTCAACCGTATATTGCCTGCCTTCAAAGACCACCCAGTTACGAGATCGCCAAATACGCCAGAGGACAGCCACCATCTTCATGAACAAAGCAGGGTCCTGGATAAGATTCATAACCTTCCGCAGGAACAAGGGAAAAGAGTGACACGGTAATCCTTCCCCGACATGTTCAAGGCCTGCCGCCCCCCAAAGAGCCTTGGCTATCGGACAGCCCCAAAAGAGGTGCTCCACAGTCTCGGCGTCTGCCCAACAAACAGGGCAGCGCGGCTGAACCATAACTTTTCGATCCCTCAACGCTTCTGTAGTAGGAAGGATTCGCCGGAAAATTTGCCAGAGAAACACCTTCAATTTTGGCGGTATGTTAGCCTCCCAGAGGCGAATCCAACTTGAACGATCCATCCAATCCACCCCAGCCCTCCAACAACCCCTACGCCTGTCCAAAGCAACCGCCAGATGGTAAGCGGATTTCACCGAAAAATCACCATCCGCCGTGTCATGCCATATTAGCTTATCCTCTACATTCATACACGGGAGAGGAATAGCCTTGATAGTCCGACAGGTGCTAGGGTCAAACCACTGACTGAGTTTGGAATCACACCAACGACCACTCTCCTGGCAAATCAGCTCCGAAACTGGGGGATCCCCTCCTGGTGGCAAGACTATCGGGTTATAACGAATCGGCTCAAACTGATGCTGGGGTACCCAAGTAGAGTGCAACATGGATGCCGTTCGCCCATTCCCAATTTGCCACCGGAGACCCATTCCCAAGAGTTCTCGCCCATACAGAATACTCTGCCACCCCCACGAGGGGCGAGACCGAGCCTTCGCACTGAGGAAATGGCCATCAGGAAAATATTTCCCTTTGTACACCTGGGCAAGCAACGACTGGGGTTCCTGGAGGATTTGCCATCCAATTTTAGCCAAGAGGGCTTGATTAAAATGCTCAAACCGCCGGAACCCCATCCCCCCATCATGTTTACTCCGGCACATGTCCCGCCAGGACACCCAACGGACCTTCGAATGATTGTCCTCATCCCCCCACCAAAACCGGGCCACATGCCTGTCCAGCAGACGGCAGAGGCCTAGCGGCAGTTTGAAGCAGGACATCACATGAAGGGGCAAAGCCATGGCCACCGATTTTATCAAAGTCTCCTTTGCCGCCCAGGATAAAGTTCTCCGTTTCCATCCCTGAAGGCGCTCCAGCAATTTCTCTTCCAAATAACGGAAGGTGTCCATCTTTGATCTGGCTATGAGGGTAGGGAGCCCAAGATATTTGTCATGCACACCGACTGCCCCTACCCCCATACATGTTGCAAGGAATTCCTGATCTGGAGTCGTGATATTCCGGCTGAAGCATACCGCCGACTTAGCCAAGTTCACTCTCTGGCCACTCAGTTCCTCATATTCATTCAAAACATCGATTAAATTTTCACATTCCTGGATTGTTCCACGCAAGAATAAATATGAGTCATCAGCAAAGAATAAATGCGAAATCCTAGGCGCTCTAGGAGCCACCTTTATTCCTGCTAATTTCTTCTCTGAGATAGCCTTCTTCAGGAGTGCCGCAAACCCTTCTGTGCATAGCACAAATAGAAGGGGTGATAGGGGATCTCCCTGTCGCAGACCTCTGGAAGGAGTGAAGTACCCAGACGGAGTACCATTCATCAGAACCGAAAAGGAGGTAGATCGAAGACACTCCTGAATCCAACCTCGCCAGACAGAATTAAACCCCATTTTTTCCAAAACCGTGAGGAGAAAGGTCCATTCGACTCTATCATAGGCCTTTTCCATGTCAACCTTCAGAGCCATGTAACCTTTCTTCCCACGTTTTTTTAATTTCAGGTAGTGCATAATTTCATGTCCTAGGAGGATATTTTCGACAATCTGCCTCTCACGAATGAACGCATTCTGCCCCACCGAGACAATTGATGGTAAGATACAGGCCAATCTCTCAGCCAGGATTTTGGTAATTATTTTGTACACAAACTGGCAAAGACTGATAGGGCGCAGTTGCCTCATATTTTCAACATTATCTACTTTTGGGATGAGAGTGAGCCAGGTATGATTGAAACTACGAAGCATCTTTCCTGTCGAGAAGAATGAACAGACAGCTTCAATCACCGATGGCCCCACAATATCCCAAAAAGACTTGAAGAATTTACCCGTAAACCCATCCGATCCTGGCGCCTGTTTTGATCCCATAGCAAAAACAGTCCGCCGCACTTCCTCTGGCAACACCGTCGCAGTCAAGGCATCATTCATGGCTGGAGAGACCACTTGGTCAATGGGCAAGGAAAAGACGCGCTCTTTCATGTTTGGGACCTGATTCTCAGAAGTGAAGAGGTGGCGGTAGAAGTCCGTCGCAACCAAAGCTTTCTCCTTCTCATCAGTGACCCATTCCCCATTGTCTGTCTGGAGGCCAGCTACAAAGTTCCTTTTGCGACGGGTTTTAGTAACTGTGTGAAAGTACGAGGTGTTTTTGTCCCCCTTTTTGAGCCAGTGGACCCTTGATTTTTGCTGCCAGTAAATCTCTTCCGCTTCCCACTGCCGGCTTAATTCTACTTCCAGATCACGAATCTCATCCCAGTTAATTGGTTGGATCTTTTTGATTCGCTCGATTTCACCTTGCAGTGTACGAATATTTCGCAGAGAGTTCGTGGTCCCCGCTCTACTCCAATCATATAGCAGATGGCGGAGTTTTTTGAGCCGTTCCCAGAGGCGAAACATTGGGGTCCCTTCCACGCTTTCTTGCCAGACATAAGCCACCATGGCTCGTACCTCAGGATTATCCGCCCACCGCGCATCAAAACGGAACAGGGGGCGACTCTGACGAACATAGGGCTTATCAGATAACAAAAGCGCCCTATGGTCCGACCCTTGATCCGTAAAGTGCTTAACAAGAGTCTCCGGGAAGCGGTCCTGCCAAGACTGGGAGCACAGTGCTCTATCCAGTCTTTCACGAATACAGGCTGCTCCCATTCTTTTATTCGTCCAAGTGAAGGGTTCTCCTTGATACCCGGGGTCAAAGAGGCCAAGATCCTGAATGAGATCACGGAGTCTAAGAGCCTGACCGACATGCCATTGATTCCCTCCCTCTTTCTCACTTTCATGGAGGGTAACATTAAAGTCACCAATAATAACATAAGGTTCAACGATGCCATTGCAAAGTCCCTGAAGTTGGTCAAGTTGGGAAGCGCGAACAGAGGAATTACAGCTAATGTAAACAAAGAGAACGACGTAGGCTAAGTTCAATTCATTAATGCGAACACCAATACAGAAACTCGAATGAAAAAACACCGAAGCATTGACTTCAGGGGTCCAAGCTACAACCAGCCCACCTGAAGCATCAACAACATCGACAAAGAAACAACAAGAAGAAAGGAAACCTAACCCCCGCATACGGCGGGTCACTACTCTCCGGCTTGATCGAGTTTCAGAAAAGAACACGATGTCCGGTTTATTCGAATGGACCAAACTGAAAGCAGATTGAAATGTGAGAGAAGGTCCAATTCCCCTCACATTCCAAGCCAGAAGTCTCATTTAATCGGGTGGGGCCACTCGAGGCTGGCTTCCTCCACCTTGTTGATTCCTTCCTGATCCTCCACAAACTGTTTTTTAGGGGTTGGTATTTCTGGCAAATCCCCTTCAACATCCTCAAGGAGCCGCTTTTTCTTTCCTCTCCCCTGCTCGAGGATATTACTACCATACTCATTGATGTCTAGGTTCGACTTGTCCAGAGGTTGGTTCAGAGTTGGTTCCATCGGATCAGCGATCTCATTCATGGTCAACCCTTTTTCAAAGGCTTGAACCACCTGCTGCACTTTATTCGTGCGGACCAAACGTCTCAAAGTCCCTTCAATTTCAGGGGACCTCCGTCGAACTTCATAAAGGGAAGATTCTTCCTCCGAGCTTGTATCCTCCGAGTCCCATCCTGCCAACGGAGTCAGCGAAGGCAGGACTTCCTTCTCCGCCAGCAGTGGCCCCTTGCCCTTCTCTTTTTCCCCCGTCTTCAAACCCGCCCGCTTTTGCCTGGACACCTCCTCCAAACTATGGCTCAAAGCAGCCCGGGGTTCCCGAATTTGGAAAGAATCCGAAGATCGGCAGGGAGGGCCCCCCTGTGAATTACAACGAGACGCCGGAGGGATCATACGAAGTGGAACGGCTTCAATAACCAGCTCCTCCATTCGATTCGCCTGTTTGGGCAGAGGGGATGGCCTTCTCCCCTGCCCAGGAGTCGGAATTTCGTGGACAACGAATTCCTCTTCAGATTCCTCTTCCAAAATCAGGCGGCGGCGGCGGGTGGCCTCATCGGAGTTCAGCCCCGGCGGCCGGATCTTCGTCTGCTCCGTTACAGGGGTCGGGCGGCGACCGAGTCTGCGGCCAGTGCTACGTCGGCCCGGTTGTGCCAAACCCTCCCCCAAACCCGGATTCCTCACATCGGGCTGGCCCAATCCTTGTTGGGCTTGGGCTGATCGACCTTCAGTTGTTGGGCCACCAGTAGCAAGTCTGGATCCAATGCCACGGCCCGCTCGTTTGGAAGACTTGGCCGGCCTGTCTATTTCCATGGGGTCCATTGTTGATCCAGTTTTGGCCTTACCCCTGCGACCTTGGCGACCCAAAGCAACCTTCGGGCTTCTGGAGATGTGGACTCGGCCTGGACTACGGCCTGGACTTCGGCCCGTCTTCATTTGGGCTTCGGTGGTTATGAAAGGCTGGTCAGATGTCCCCATCCAGAGTGGGCTCGCCATCGGCCCATGAGCATTCACCTTCTGTCGAGGCTGGGTTTGAGCAGGTCGCCTTTCCTCAGCTGTATTCGCCGGAGCCTTGCGCGGCGCGGGGTTCACCCAAACAGAGTTCTGCAGCCGGCGATTCTGGCTTCGCAAGTCCTCCCCATCGAAGATCTTCACTCCCAAGCTTTTGGTTGAGAGATGGGGCCCGAAACGCTCCTTCCTCGTCGGCGGGTCGAAAGTGCAATCCTGGCGGGAGTGTCCCACCCTGCCACACTTGAAGCAGAGACACGGCAGGAATTCATATTTAAACCGAATCCAGAAGCCGCCCATCTCGGCATTCGTTGCCATGACTTGAGAGCGTAGGGGCATTGAGAAGTCAATAAGGGCCTTAACTTTGAGGAATTTTCGCGCCGTGGAAGAGCACGAGAAAATCCCTGTCTCCAAAACCCGGCCAATCATCGAATCGCCAATCTTGCGGCCGAATTGGTGGGTGCAGCACTCCTCCTGGACGTCCCAGAGTTGGACACGAAAGGGAGCACAAGCGAGCTCATCGTAAGTGCGTTGAGACACCGTCGGAATCCAAGCTCGCAGATGCAGGATTCTGTCCGCGACAATCCACGGTGTTCTCTGCAGCACCCATGTTCGCGCTTCGTCCGACGGAAGGGTGAATTCCAGGAGGTCATGTTTCAGCTCTCGGACAATAATCCGTCCTTGGCCCTGCCATGGACGATTTACCGCATCGCGAATTTCATTGAGAGGGAGTCGGTCGGCAGAGAATAGACGGCCAATCAACATTCGTGACTTGGGAGCTCGGAATGCTTGGACTTCATCCAGCGAGAATTCCACAACTTGATCTTGGTTGATGCGAGCCATACCTGCCTCCTGCAACAACAGAGGGTCCGATTCACCTGTTAGAGAGTGTTCCACAGTGATCATCAAAGACCAAGGGAAGCTCCACAGGATATAATGGATTTTGTGGAATGGGATGGAGTCTGTTGCTAGAAGGAAATGAATGTCTAGCAAGGACACCAACCACTCACCAGTTAAGATGCTCTGCCCCGAGTTGAACGCGTCGATTTGCTTTTCCTCCCACTTGTTTTGTTGCTTAGAGCAAGTGAACAACATTGGGTCGGAGGGCCGCGTTAAATAGGCTGGTGAGGGTTGGAAGAATGGCATTCGAAAGACTTCTTTCAGCCTTAGGAGACTCTGGATGTTTCCGTTACAATCAGTTAGGGGGGAAAATCCAGATCCTCTATTTTGATTTTTTGAGAATATTTGTCTGTTAGATCGCCTATCCCCATTTCGAAACTGTCGGGATACGCCGCGAGTGGCAAGAGTCCATCTCGAGACAGGGCAGTTACGATCCGGTCGCCAACGACGATCGTCCGGTCGACAGAGGGTTGCCTGCCCGGAATCGATCCCGGCGTTCTTTGGAGTTTGAGTAGCCCGGAGTTCCCCAGGCCTCGCCCCATAGCGGGGTCTGAGTCCTGAATCGATTTTCCGGCCATCTCCATCGCCAATCAAACCATGAACAGGGGCAGAATTTGGAACTAATTCCATTTCGTCCCCCTCATCCAATTCCCCTGATGATGGGAGCTTGAAGCTCCATATCTTCACTCCAACCGACCTCGCCCCCACTTGGGATCTGAATTCAGTCGAAGGAGATTCCGTCCGCTTATCTTTGTCAATAGGGTGATCCCTCGTCGGAGCTTCAGGTAACACCTGCTCGTCCCACTCGAACTCTTCGGGAGAGGGAATAACAAATCTCCAACCCTGTATACTACGATCTCGACGTCTGGATTTCTTCTTTATCGGACCTTCGTTGGGGCTGAGTTCCACAACTGACTGCCTTTTGCGCTTATGTTTGCACGCGGAAGGTTTTGGAGGCCGTCTCTGTACAGTGGGTCGCTTTGCAGACTTAACCAGTTGAGCCAGCATCCTCCCTTGATCCCATTTGGGGCGCAAGTCAATGTCGATTCCTTGATTTGCTAATGCTACATCCAAGATGAGAGCTATCGAGCTCGTGATGATCCCGGCAATCGCCGTGAGCAGGCAGCATATCGCCGTCCAGCATAGAAAGAGGAGAGAGGAGAGAGCTTTCATCTTTTGCCTACAACTCGTTCAGCTGTAAACTATTATTTGATTGCGTGAAAATGTGAAATTGCACCAAAAACTACACTGAAAATGAAATGGCAATAGTCAGCCCATTAGCAGATTAGTATTGAATATGGATTACAGTACAAAAGCCCATTGGATCAGGCTATCTCGTAAACGAATACAATTCACATTAACCTTATCTTGCTATTGGGCTAAGGCCCATGGCCCACTTCTGACGAGTTCGCGTCGTTTCATCCTCCAAGACATGCGGAAGAGCCCGTTTAGCCAAATCACTGGTGTCCGACGTCGTATTGCTGCTTCAATTGAAAGTGGAACTGTATAGTAGTGCTCTGCCAATCGTACTGTTTGATTTTCCTCGAAATGCGAGCTGACCTCCGCTCCGTCTTTTTCCCTCTGCCGCCACTAAACTTTTTTGTATACCAGCAAGAGAATCGCGAGTCGCGACGAAGAATCGCCTCGCTCCCCGGCGTAATGAGCAATGTAGAGAGCGGCTTGGACACTCGGCGCGCCCGGTGTACCAGCCCCGCTTCGCCGCGGCGGCGGACGGAGTAGAGAGCCAGTAAGCCGTTCGAGAAAACTAACGCAAAAATCGCGCGGCTGAATAGGAATTCGAATTCGCCGGAGCAGCCAATCCCAATACAGGTGAGAAAAACACACATTGTTGTAATGCCTGTCTCTGATCAGTGTTTCTTGCCCTAATCTCTGTACGTTTCTGCATTTGAAGACCCACCGAGTCGTTTTCCTTGATTTCACTTCGTCTTCGTACAAATACAATCACTTCCTGCGCGTACTGGTTTGGTGTGCGGTTGTGTGACGGAATGTATCCCTGTTTATCGAAATGAACATCGAATCGAGTCATGGAACGAGGCGGAGATTTGCGGTTAATGGCTGTATGTATGAATTCTGATTATGCATTATCGATATTATGAGCTAGTAGGCTTCGGTGTTTGTCTACTGAATTTCTTACTGTTACTGTCATTACAGCCGATTGAGTTCGAGCATGGAATTCTGGTTATGGGGTTTGGAAAATGTAGGTGATGAGGCGAAGCTTCTCTCTGTAGTTGAAAGGTCTTGGGGCTGGAAATGATCCGGTAAGGGGGCATATTGTCACTGTCAACTATAAACTCTGCAGCTTTGTTAACTACCTTTGCCAAAATTGTCAGTCATTTTGTTCAGTTTCTGAATTCTGCATTAAGAAATTGAATATGGCTGAGTCATAGGCAGAACAATCGAGGACTAGGGTTTCTTGACGTAGGAAGTTGAATCACTGAATAACCAATAAGATCTGAATTGGCTGTACCGTTATTACATTGATTCAGGCAGCTGTTTATTAGGTTTTGATACATTTCATTGTTATTTATGTGGGTTCTTCTTCAGTCCAACTTCTTCAGGGGAAATTGTGTATGATGGTTGTGAATTCCAGTCCTTGCCTATGAGATCTGTAGCTCATAATTTTCTGGCACTAACTTGTTATAGAAACACAAGTGGATAGAAATTTGGATACCGTGGTGTATAAGTTCTAAGCAGATCTGTCTGAACAGCCAAAGATTAGTGAGAACCATAGCTGATAAAAACAAAGCAGTCATTTCTGTCCTAAGTTATCTCCTTATTCCAGAACTGAGACTTTGGGATGATCCATATGTCCTGCATTACGGTGTTCAAACAAATTTATGTTTCACAGAACAGTTTCGTCTAAGAACTTGACAGTGTATCCTCCTTTAGTTACATGTTTTCGCTTCAGGAGTTTGTGCTCATTGAGATGTATGGTTACTGTGGAGATTGCTTATTATTTCGTGATGTCTTTGATCTAGGACACCATTATCAAACTGATGGATTTGTATATTGATTGACATGCTATGGGATGATACTGGTATCTTTGAGGCTTGAGCAGCGTGTGAGGTGTACTAGATTTTGCTGGTTAGTAGGAAGAAAGAAACCATCGAGTCTTAGAACGGGCCATCTAATGTATTGAGTGGTTTTGTGGCTTATGGGCCTAGGTCCAAACTTTGGATGAAGAATATTCGGTCTTGCTGGCTTTTTTCTTGTCTCCTAATTTCTTTAATCCGCCGCAGGGGAAATTCTCCATGTTCCTTCAACAACCAAGATTGGTGCAGTGCACAAGTTGCGGCAGCCCGCCACCAGCTTTCACCACAGAGTCAAACTAGGGAGATTAAGGCGTCTCAAGGGAATGGACCCCCTGTTAAGAAAAACAGGTTGAGGAAAGGTAAAGACACAGCTGTAATCTATGAAGAGAATTTGAGAACTTCGTGAATAATTTTGGATGGTTTTGCTTTGATGGTACACTCAGACTTACGTAGTTTTGTGCATATCTATGCTTTCAGCAAGAAAAGCAACGCGAGATATCCTAAAAAAGAAGATGTGGATCGCACATGGGATTTTACTTGGGTTGCGCTCGTGGAGTAGAAAGCGATCAGTTTGAAGCCAACTTGAATATCCGGTAACTATTTTGCTTTCTGAACATTACAATGGTTATGATTACAGTTCAAGTCACCTGCTTTTTCTCTTCGGGGAAGCTAACACTAGAAAGCTGTACACATGTGATGAAATTATAATGATTCTGATGAAGTTAATCCTCATCCTTTGAGTTGGGACTACGAAATTAGCTTCACCAATAGAATATTTAGAATTGTTTATCCTTAATACTATTTCTCTGATCGAAAAGTCGAGACTTGGTAGTCATGTTATAGTAGAAATGATTTCATATCTAAACGGAAAATAAACTGCATAGGTCATAAGTTTCCACAGGTAATGCTTTAAATATCTAACATGACTATTATATGTCCACTTAATTAGGACAAAAACGACCAATAACCACTTATGTACATTATTCCACTCCTAGATGTCGTACACTTTCAATGATGAACAGGGGCAAATGATGAATGCAGAGTTAGGTCCAGTTCTCATTCTTAGGTTTAGGTTTTAGGTAATGCTATCTGATTCTTCTAATTTGTGACAATTTTGCATTGTACAAGTCATCTAACGGTTGTTGGGTTCCACATCACATTTTCACCATACTTTAACTGTATATCTTACATGTGTACCAACCCACTGATTTCCTAAAATGGATATTGTTATATACATTTTTCTTTCTACTGTTATACATTATTTTTCTCTCTAGTGTTATACATTAGGTCTCTCACGTCAGAAGTGGCATTAACTTTATAGTTCCTTCTTGTTACGCTAGAAAGTAAGAGTCTGGCTTTCCTGTTTCTTGTTTCATAAGTTTTTGAGTGTTAGTGAAATGGCTTTATTCCTCGGCTTTCATTTGGCTAAGTTTTTGTTGCTCTCAGTTTCCTTTCCCATTGTCAAGTTACGAAGATGCCATAGCAGAAAAATGCGGCACGTAAATTAACGCTTATAAAAAATGGGGAGTACGTGCATGCATAATTCTGGAGCGTTGCTTAATGCTTTAGGAAATTGATGGAACTTTACTATATCGTGCTGATAATTGGCGTTTTTCTACTACTTCAGTGTAGATTGGACTTTCACCGAACAGGCATCTACGGCGACTAGGAAGAAATGGGAAAAGCTGACTACAGGTTGAGAAGGATTGTGTATAATTCTGGCGACAGTCAGGTAAGGACAAAAAAGCCCTTGTCGTTGCGTGGTTGAAATCTTTGTGATTGTGCGAATATTACATGTATCAAGTCCATAGCTCTCGACTCGAGTGGAATGACCGGCCTACAGAGATATAGATCTAACTGCAATAGCTTGTACCGCGTCTTTTTTTCTTCTTCTGAAATTGCTAGGCCATCTTCATGTCTGCCGTAGAGCTGGAAAACGGGTCGAGCCGGGTTGGATTACATTGAGGATGGTCATGATGGACCGGTTCATTACGAGTTGTGGATTAAAAAAGGTTGTGGTATTACTGATGCAGACCCTATAGATTTCAACAAAGGGTCATTTCAAAGTTTGTTTGAGGTAGTAATTGATTGCACATTCATAATGGTCATGAGTCATGCTCTATATGTGCTCTTTCTGATGAAAACTATCTTCTCTCACTTTTGTTTCTAGTAATAAATAGTTGGAATGCTCATAGCTATCCAATCCAATCAAAGCAATCTTGCTTTCGCTATATTTTATTCTCTTCAAAATGGTTTTTACGTCGGCAACCAATGAAAACATGGTGCTGGTAAGAGTTCCTTTGTACAATAATGTAAAAGATTCTCTTCTTACTCTAGTAAAGAGTCCACCCAACCAGTACACTGCTTAGTTTCGACCATTTTTAGATGACTCAGCGCATTATTGGAGTGGGTTTTAAACTCAGCCACTAACATTTGAATTCTTTGCTTTCGTCTGAATAACTAACTACCCTGTAAGAATAAAGCTCAAGAGCTGGAAGCTTCCCTGTCACATTTATTTTTTTGTGTGCTTGTTCTACATGGGAAATATATGGTTTTTGAGGAGTGAAACATTAGAACTAGGAAACATATTCCCTGAAGATTTTCCCTTATAAGGAAATCTCTTGTCGATCTTCCTTCCTTCGTTTTCACCAGCATTGATCAGCGGTGTACATTTCCTGGAAGCTCCCGACCTCTCTTTATATTATAGCTTTTGATCTAGCTGGATTCATGCAGATTTACGGCGTGGGGGTGTTGTACTTTTTCTATATATTATTGTCGTAGCAAGCGAAACTTCCATGCAATCACACAGTGTTCCTTAAACTCGCTTGCTACCTTCGCAACTTGTTCTGGGGCTAACCTGAAGCTTAATCCCTTTTTTCCGTTTTTCGCGTTTGTCGTTTTGGCACAGAATGTTCGCTGGAGTTCAGCGTTTTGCAACCACCACGCTGTCACCAGCTCACTGGTAAGAACATAATCGTTGATTGGTGTTTTCCCTAGTAGTCTCTTCTCGTGTTTGCCGTGAAAGAAAATCATTAATTCATTATACGGTTGTTGACCCAAAAATAAATTTTTTTGGTCGTGGGGACTACAACTACTTGCACTGCCAATCTACATTGAATGATAATGTCTGCCTGGACCGAAATTATTATTATCTTTTCCCCTTTCCCCGCCCTTTTTTAATTATGAAAACGAAGTTTATTAATTTATTCTGGTTCTCATTGTCTGTTCTCTACAGTTTTCGTTTTCTTTACTTCTGATATTTAGCTCGTAATTAGACTATTCCAGACTGTGTTGAGGTTGACGGCGCTGGGGTTATAATTAATGGGGGACTTAGAACTACTACACAGCTAATCTTGGATTATGTGCACCTTTCTTTCCATTGCTTGTCTCAGTGAAATTGCCTCTGTTGGGTAGCAGCGATTGGGGATTGGTCGTTTTCGTTCTTCCTTTTGGGTTACAGCTTTGATTTCTATGAATTGATTCACGGCTCAGTTTCAAACTGTTGGATGCATTAAAGTCACTCCCTGTTTTAAAATGGTCTGCCACCTACTGTAAGCTGTTTTCCCTTCATTTCTAAATTTGCTGTTGGGATTCAAACCTAACAACAGTGCCGTGTTCGCTGAATTTAATACATTTCCCCATTTTAACTATTTTGGCAGCTTATCCAGCTGTTCTCTTGCCCCAACCTCACACTTTGAAAATGAGATTAGCATTAGCAATTAGCATCCAGGTTTGACTCTATACCCTATAGTTTAAGGACGAGATAAGCCTGAGTTTTTTTTTGGAAGTGTTCTGGTAGTATATTTTACTTCAGCTGTTGCCTCGTGTTCGTTCTTCAATATGTTCCTGTCCTACGTGGGCCGTCGTTTGGTTGTGTTTTTGTCCTCACCATCTAATTCTTAATTGTATAGAGATGTACCACAACACAGCAAACAACCACTATTATTTGGAGAGGCGGAAGGAAGGCTGTTCAGGTGGCACGAATTTTGCATCTTTCACTGGCATTATTCTTCGCTGTCATTCATTCATTGTATAGGTAACATTTCCTTCCCCTTACCTTCATATTTTATAGTCCGGGAATCATGCCGCCGGTCTGATTTCTTCTAGGGGAAAGGAACATCAATAAAGAAACTTCTAATGGTAGGCTGAGTAAAGAAAAAGAGTGTTCGTCCAGTAAAGTGAAAGAGTGAATATTAACGTACATAAAGCTGGGACGGTTCAGGTAGACACAACATTATTTTAGTGGGTTGTTTATTATTGAACAGAGATGGGGTTTTACATGTGCAAGCTTTATGTCGCAACATCACGACGTTTTGTTAACTAGCTAGTGCTGCAACCTAATTTGTGCTACGAAAGACTAATAACTTTTCCTTGAGTTTATTAATCTTAATCTGTCGTAAAAAATATTGGTGGGGAAAGGGAACTCATGAGACGAGCCTGCCAGGATGTACCTTTTGCTCACCAAACCGGCCTGATTGATTATTTTAGGGACGGTGACGGCCGGGAATTTTGGTTTTTATTTATTTGTTTATTTTGGTTTTCCCTTTGCTGCTTTGTCATTATGCATGAGGCTGTCATTTTCAGGGCATAAGCAGAAGTGATTATCAACATAAACGTAATAGATTTGTACTCGCCGTCCCTTCTCCCCCTCCTCCGCTTTCAAAACTTAAAAAGTCTATTTATACCGCTCCCCCAGCCAGAGGAAAGACGTGTCTCAGTTGTGTGCTCATTTCCTTTCTTTTCTCTCCTTTCTTTGTCCATACAGATACAGAGGTCTTTCTGCCCTGAGTTTTCTGGACAGCGAGGCAGACAGATAGAGAACATCTGCTTTAGATTTAGAGAAAGCAAGACTAACGGTTACCCATCACCCATAAACCTCTGCCAGTTGGTCCTGATCTCGCCATTTGTGGTTCAAGTTCTGAGAACAGTTTTGCAAGGTATGCCTCTACTTGATCTGAAAAGAGAACAGAAGTATGAGTAGCAGCTGAAAAATGGCGTCATGTTGACAGTATTTATGATTTTTTGGCTGGTTGATTGGTACAATCTGAATGACATTTGAACCCAATCGATGGATCAGTTCAAGAAATTCATTAATACCTTTCCTCTTTCTTCTTCCCCTGACAGCACATTCCATCCTTTCTACTCTTTCTGTTTCATGTCTCACACGGTCTAAGTGGGTTCTCGTAGAAATGAACGCTCATAGCTGTAGTTAAAAGGACTCTGTAACTGCTGCTACAGCTTTAATAACGCTTGAATCAAGCTTCTGCATTCTCACAAATTAGAATGGTTAATGATCTTTCAGGTGCCATTGTTCACTATGGGAGAAGACGGAAGAAACATGACCGAGTTGGAAAAGCAGCAGAATTTGCCAGGAGATGTTCCTACACTCCTCAAATACATCTCAACGAGTGATGTACCTGGTTTCGAAAATCTCGAATCCATTGTGGCGGCAATGGTACTGCTTTATTCATTTTCACACTCATGTTTTCCTCGCACTCTTTCCCTTTTTTGTCCATTTTTTCTTAATGTATTGGCCATCTCTGCACAGGGCGAGGTGGAGCAACCGCAAACTTCGAACCACCAAAGGAAGTATTCCATTTCCATCAGCATGCCGAGCTCTCCAGTAGGAAACGGCTCGAAGAACACAAAGCACGTCCTTTTCGACGACACCCCTGACAAGGTTTTAGGTCCTGGAATCCCTGAACCAGCAGCAGCCTATCCGTCATCTTCGACAGCAAAAGTGAAGTTCCATTCTCAGCCGATGCCAAAAGGAGCTGCGGTGGGGCACGGAATCGAGATGAACAGCTTCACCCACCATCCAAATCCCGCCATAAGGAAGCTGAAGGACAAACGATACGACTCTTTCAAGACATGGTCGGGAAAGCTCGAGAGGCAGATCTCCAATCTGCGAGGGAAGCCAAGGGAGGAATCTTTGCCTGAAGATTCCGTTGGACCTGCGGCACAGAAGATGGATAACAACAAAGACGCCTTCCCTGTAGATCGGTACTTCGACGCGCTCGAAGGTCCTGAATTGGAGACCCTCAGGGTACGTTATCCTTTGCTCTCTGCCTACAGTTTTCTCTGTTTCAAAATTCCACCGCACTAAATGCTTAATGCTTTGATCTATCTGGATTCTGGACAGCGCTATTTATAGATAGCAAACAGAATAAAAATGAAAGAAAAGAGTGTATAGTAATGTGAAAAATGCTGATCATCTCTGTTTCCTTGTTACAACAGCCTTCAGAAGAAATACTCCTGCCGGACGACAAAAAATGGCCGTTCCTGCTCCGCTACCCTGTCTCATCCTTCGGTATCTGCCTCGGAGTCAGCAGCCAAGCGATCATGTGGAAGACACTCGCCACTTCCCCTGCCACCAAGTTCCTCCACATCACTCACGACATCAACCTCGTGCTCTGGTCCATCTCCGTCGCCCTCGTCGTCGTCGTGGCAGCCATCTACCTCCTCAAGCTGATCTTCTACTTCGAAGCGGTCCGACGAGAATACTACCACCCGATCCGTGTCAACTTCTTCTTCGCCCCGTGGATCGCCCTCCTCTTCCTAGCCATCGGCCTCCCCAACTCCGTCGCCACCACACTCCCCCACGCGCTCTGGTACGTTCTCATGGCACCGTTCCTCTGCCTCGAGCTCAAGATCTACGGCCAGTGGATGTCCGGCGGGCAGAGGAGGCTGTCGAAAGTGGCGAACCCTTCGAACCATCTGTCGATCGTGGGGAACTTCGTGGGAGCGTTGCTGGGGGCGTCGATGGGGTTGAAGGAAGGGCCGATCTTCTTCTTTGCTGTTGGGATGGCTCACTACACGGTGCTGTTTGTGACTCTGTACCAGAGGCTTCCCACGAACGAGACGTTGCCCAAGGAGCTGCACCCGGTGTTCTTCCTGTTTGTCGCGGCGCCTAGCGTCGCTTCCATGGCCTGGGCGAAGATTCAAGGGTCGTTCGATTATGGGTCGAGGATTGCTTACTTCATTGCCATGTTCCTCTATTTCTCTCTGGTAAGTTAACCCTCTGTTCCCCCCGCTCTCCTTGAATTTGAATTAGCAGTGTAGTTTAGTACTAAAACTCAGTTACATTTTGTGACTGAATCATACCAATTGGGACTAGCATATTCGAATCGAATCGGCCATTGGAGAGGATGATTCATAATTTCATTGTTCATCTGTTTGCAGGCAGTGCGAGTGAACTTCTTCCGAGGATTCAAGTTCTCGCTGGCATGGTGGGCGTACACATTCCCTATGACGGGTGCAGCCATCGCAACGATCAGGTACTCGAACGAGGTGACCAATGTCGTCACACAGGCGCTCGCCGTCGCCCTCTGCGCGATTTCCACGCTCATCGTCACCGGCCTGCTGGTGTCCACGATCCTGCACGCGTTCGTCCTCCACGACCTCTTCCCCAACGACATTGCCATCGCCATCAGCGACAGGAGGCCCAAGCACAGCAGCCGCGGCGGCCACCATCACCTGAAGTGGTTCCACCGCAGGACCGGGAGCTCGGAGGCCAGGGACATCGAGCATTACTTGAAGTTCGTCAACTCCGATTGCAAGGACGTCGAGGCTGGTTTCGACGACAGCCAAGGATCGGATGGTAGTAACAATGCCAAGCCGCAGCTGCAAGAGCATTAGGGCGGCTTTTTTTCGGGGGTGGAAGTTTATCGATCAGGGTTGTAGCCACGGGAGGGACGATGACGACGACGACGACGGCGGCGGCTTTTTGGGGAATTGGGAGAGTTCCGGTGAATGTGTGCTCTGTCTGATGAGTGATTTACTTTTGTGATCTGTGTGGTAGTGTAAAATATATGGCAGCATATGGCTTCTGTGTAGAAAATGGAAGAAGAGAAATTTTATGTAAAAAGTTTAAAGATTTTCTGAATAAGAATTTACGGAATGAGCTATTCGGTACAAAATGTGCGCAACCGGTTTCAAAGAATAAGGGTGGTTTGGATGGATCAATTATAAAACGAGACAATTTGACTAATTGTTTCATTTTACAAAACGAGTCATTTAAAACGAGTCAATTCAGATTACTTGTTCTCACCCCAGACAATTGTAATTGGCTCAAAATGAGACAATACAGAATTCCCTAGCAAAATTGCTCCATCCATATTTCCTACTGCCAAACGGATCAATCTGGCAAAAATTGTCTCAAAACGAGACAATTGTGTCAGATTGATCCATTGGAATTCCTCATCCAATCGACCCCTAAATTAAAGCGCATATAGACAATTATTAGTGCATCCAAAATGAATACAAATCCTTTATTCATCATTATATCGTTGCACAAATAATGACGGAAGAAGGGATTTTTTTGTTGTTGTAAAAATTTAGATTTTCTCAATGAGGAAATTCTGAATGGGATATTGATACAAAATGTGTGCAATCAGCTTCAAAGAACAATCGGAAGTGCATAGACAACTATTAGTGCATCCAAAATGAATACAAATCCTCTTGGTAATCACCATGTTGTTCCTTACTACAATTAAGTGTATGGATATGGCGAATTGTGATATAAATGATCAAAATCGGTACTTGTTTAACTACAAACTAGTTGTGATTAAGGCTCACGCTCTAATAGTGAAGTGACGACCACCAATTTCTATTTCAGTAATGAATATCAACATTATTTTCATAACTATAAAAGTTTTATAATGTTTAAGTTTTCGTACAATCGTATCTATCTGTTAAGTTTTCCTTGCAATTCCGGTCAACAACGATCAGCTCATGATCTTACAGACTTAAATGACTAAACTACCCTTAGATTAGTTGCTTGTGGACGAAGAGTGTGATGCGGTGGCGGCGGGAATGGACGGCCACCGAGCTCCACCGCGGTAAAAAAAAAGAGCTCAGTAATTAACGAGCAGGTTATTTTGGTTTGACAGCCAGGAAGAATGAAAAGAAAGAAAAAGTTCCCCAGGAAGGAACAATATTCTCCATTTTTGTCTTTTGTATGGGATTTGATTTGGATGGTCGTACGGCATTAACAGGCAGAAGCTGAGTGAGTGAGTGAGTGAGCTGGCCTGTGACAGACCCTGAAACGGCCTAAAAACCTTTCTTTTTTTCTCTCCCGTTGGCCTTCCTTGGCACGGCAAGAGAAGCAAAGGGTTTGGTTGGATAATTGATTGGAAGAAGAGGAGCATTGTTGTTCGTTCATAGCAGCTGCCATGGCCACCTGCTAGCTATTTTCTTTCAACTGGTAAGTCCCCCTCTCTCTTTCTTCCTTCTGTACTTTCTCTTCCAAAGAGCATTTCCTTTCTTTTCACTTTCCTGGTGCGGGTTTCCTTCGTCGTCTACCGCCATTTGCCTGTTATTGTGAATTTGTGATGGGTTTTGTTAGGGTTTCACCGTTCCTTTCTCTATGATCTCTGTTTTAGCAGCAGCAGCAGCTCGTTCCATGATGTCTCAAGTTTTCATGTGCTCTGTTTCGTAGTTCATTCCGTGTTGATGTTGGTGTCATTTGATTATTTTCGTCTGATTGCAAACTTAAACCAGTAGATTTGTGAGATTGGGTTGGGAAATACTGAGTGCTTGGGAAGGATGATCTTTCTGTTTGGCAAGTGAAAAAAACTAGTCAAACTGCAGAAACGTGGCTTGGATTTGCAGAAAAAGAACTATTAAAAATGATGCTTGATGAGAAGCAGTGCCTGACCTTAGAATTCAGGAGTCACAACAGTTGATTCTGAGCTACTGTGAGTAGGATGTATGAATGAAGAAGCTGGCGTAATATATGAAAGTTCAGTAATTTCAAACTTGGATGAAGAAGCTGAGGTAGTAGATGAAGCTGTGGAGAATCTGAAATTTGATAAAGGTGCCTAAGTAGTGAATGAAGTAGTCAAATTATATAGATGTTAGGAACCGTTAGTTTTTACAAACTATTCACATTTCTCAGCGATAGAAGGTTAGCTGACTTTCAGGAAGTGGGTTAGTGGGTCAGAGATGTGAGAATCAGAATTCCCAGCTAGGCTGGTTGTATTTTTATGTGTGTTTTAGCTTCTAATAATGGAAGTGTTCAAGTTTGCACGATTTCTGATTTACAGTTTCTTCTTCTTGTTGCTGTTGTTTTGACAGGGAGGGAAAACAGAAAACCTACAAAAGGCTTTCTTAACAGAGGGAAAATGGGTGACAGGAATTATAATGACAATATGTATGGAGAAGGAAACATCCCGGTGGAGGTGGCTATACTGAGAGAGTTGGAGTACAGGAAAAAAGTTGCTCAGATGAAGCACATTCCTGAAGCCGAATTTTGCAGAAATTTCAGGCCTTTGCAGGTATATATGCTCTTCCTGAATCCTCATTATCTGTCTCTCGAGTCCCCTAGATGTATTAGGAACCAACCAATGTGATTTTGAACAACCCAGCTATTTCTTTGTTTCTAAGGTGGTTCCTGATGTGAACTGTAATTCTGAGTTTTCAGCTTTTTAAACCATTGCTGGGTGTATTATAATTTAGAAAGCGTGATGATTGCAACAAGCAACTGACCTCTGTCTGTTTATTACTTACTGAATTGTGAATGTGGGTTCTTGGCAGTTGCAGTCCTCCATTCCCAGTCCCGGGCTCGGCTCCAATCAAAGGTTGCCAAGTTCACATCCGGCTCCTAAACCTCCAGCAAACCCTGAATCCAGCCGTGGCCCCCTTCCAATTCAAGCACCAAAGCCAGCTCCTGGAGTTCCAATGATGCACCAGCAACGAAGTCGAAGCAAACAGCATGAATCTCAGCAGGCTTCCTCCGGTGCAGGACGTGATCACGATGACCTTCATCAGAATCACAGCGATCACAACTTCTGCAAGATTTGCCACATCCCTTGCGCTGGCTATGACAACTACAAGCAACACTTGGAAGGCAGAAGGCACAAGAAGAGGAAACTAGAACTGGAGATAGGGGAGAGACAGCGTGGTGCGGTGGAAAGTCCTAGACGATGGTGTGAATCATGCAAGATCTGGTGCATGAATGACGAGCTCTACCAAACCCATCTAAGAGGCAGACAACACAAGAACCATCAGCTTCAGATGCTGGAAGTTGCTTCGGGGAAGGACAAGGCGCTGCAGATTGTGGTAGCAAAGCAAGCGTTACACTGTGATGTTTGTGGTGTCGATTGTCCAGGTGAGGAGTCCTTGATGAGTCACTTGAAGGGCAAGAGACACACCGTTGCAGCCCAGTATTTGAGAAATGGAGGAGGAGGCACACATGGTGGCAGAACAGGAAACCAGTTGCGCTATGGATGTGATCTGTGCAACATCTGGTGCCCGGACATGCATGCACTGGAAATGCACAGGCAAGGGAAGAAGCATATAGTTCAAGAAATCCGGAGCAAGAAGGCATGATGCTGAAGTTTGGAGTCAGCTTTGTTTGATGAGTAAGGATTTAGGCCTGGAACATTGAATGCCAGTAGCTGTAGTAGCATTTTTATAACCCAACTTAAGGTTCTTGGAGCTGCAAGTGGTTCTAGAGCTACTTGTTCTGTTTTAAACTTGAACTATAACCTGCAAGCTCTATTTCTGCTCTGTAGTAGCTAGTTTTCTTTCTGCCTTCAACCATGGTCCCAGCTAGAACTTGACTTGAATTACTAGAAACTGCTGTGTTTGTCCATGGATGTCCCGAAGTGGGTTTTTGTTGAGACTTGTTACGCAAGAATCTGTTTCCAGTAGCTGTTTTTGTGTGTGGGATCTCCATGAGTTTTGAAGCATTGTGGTTGCTTTTCTCTCTTCAAGTGGAGCTGAATCGGGAAACAAACATGCTGTAGTTGATGTCCCTATTTGCAGAGAGCTGTGTGTGACGGATGTGAAATCTTATCAGTGGATTGGGAGATTGCTGAACTGAAGGATTTCGTTGAAATGAAATCGATTGGAGAAAACCCAGTAGAAGGAAACTTGACTTGGGAATCACGGTTTAATTCTCTTTTCTGATTATTTTTGGGCTTGAGCCCAATAACAACCTCACATCAAAGTTTTTGAGCTGCATGTTTATGGGCTTCGGCAGATCTCTATCAGCTCGGCCCAGCAGTAAAGAATGGATCTAAGGTTGAAACGGACGTGGGTATAATTCATGTTTATTTAGTGACTACTATATTTCCCACTATTAATTAACTTGCTAATTTTCCTAATTTTATTACAACCGCTTTCACATTACTTGATCATTATTTGTCAAACAAAGGAAAGGTAACAAAACAAACACGACCTAATAAATCTCTCTCCAGTCTCCACTTTCAAACCCGACATTCCTAACTACAAAATTGGTTACTAAAAGCCATTTCCCGAAATGTTAAGAACCAATAATTACATTGGGAATGCACACCAATCATGTTGTGAAATGACTACGTTATTGTTTATACAAACTAGCGCATGATTAACAGTAAAGTGTCTATGGAACTTTGAAATCTTATGCCTGACAGGAACCACCGCATATATTTATGCTTCTATCACATTACCCTTTGCCCCCCTTACCAAAAGTTAGACTCAATCATCAATAAACCTTATTATGATTCCTATAGCTACTACTCATTAATATAGGGATCATTATGTAATTTGCATTATCTTTCTCCATGTTGCTATGTAGAGGAGTTTAGGTTAACTTCATGTATATATGTATGCGGCTAGACCACTGCCGATGGAAGCAAGAAGACTAGAAAAAATAAAACCCTAACCGAGAGCTCCAAAGCTCTCCGGAGATTAGTCCCGTTCTATTCGAGCGGGTAAAATCGCGTAACTCCTCGTGACGTCTCTTTTGTTCCTTTCCGCATAATCGATTTTTACATTGTATTAGAGCTGGTTTGGCCAAGTATGGTTCTATGTTCGAATATCCACGACCCCCAATATTAACAGTTGATTAAAGCACAAGATCTATACAAACTTCAAGATCATGAGTTGGCTTTTATTTGAGGGACACGTGTAAGAGAGTGATATAAAATCCGTGAGAACCTTCTCCCTGTTAGAGTGTGGAATAAGATCCAGCATAACCTCCTCCCAACAACTCGAGTTTTTGGGACTAACTGGTTTATGACATGGTATCAGAGCTAGTTTGACCAAGTAGTGGTCGTGAGTTCGAATCTCCACGACCCTCAATATTAACAGTTTATTAAAGCACAAGGTATGGTGGGCCTGTGCAAACTTCAAGCTCATGGGTTGGCTTTCGTTTGAGAGGGCGTGTTAGATTGGTATAAGATCCAGCATAACCTCCTCCCAACAACTCGAGTTATTGGGAGCAACTGGTTCTTGACACCACCATACCTTGTGCTTTAATCAACTGTTAATATTGGAGGTCATAGAGATTCGAACACACCCGAGTTCCGAGTTATTGGAACTTCAATTCTTTGACTAGACTGCCCATCCCACGATCCATGTCTGCTGATGTCTGTCTAATTTGCGTTGACATTCTCCAAGACGCATGCATCTTCCCAAGTGCATGCACGAACGCTAATTACGTGAACAAGTCAACAAACTAGCTAGCTAGCTAGGTAGGTAGCCATGCAGCTGATGTACATAATGTTGAAATAAATATCTCCAATTCCTCGAATCAGCGGCGGATCCAGAACACAGTAGCGCACTAGGCCGCATTTCATTAGAAATTAGATACCGTAAAAAGACAATGATTTTTTTTACAATGTCAATTGTTCACGATGGTGTTTTAATATAGCGAATGCATCAATAATGGAGTCTACATCCATACCATTAGTATGCTTTGTTTCAAATAAAATACTTGAGCAACCGGCGAGTAATTCATTGCTCATTTTGTTGCGCTAATCAGTTTTCACATGTTTCTTTGTTGATAAGGTTCTCGCCGTAGTAGCTGTTGAAACGGACAGCGTCAATACTAAAATCAATCGACTAATCAATTTCCATTGTGTGTCCATCCCTATATCTAACAACTGCTCTAGTAAATTTTCAATGGAATAAATCTCATATTTCTTTTATTAGTCTTTTACGCTTTAGACTTTTAGAATTTCTGGTTCCGTTGTTTTTGTTTAGACGAAAATCTTTAGGGCTAGAATTTATAAGCTAAATTTAGAGTAGTTATTTGAATATGTTCATATGAATTATTTTTATAGTTACACACAATCTTATTATAAAATAACACTAAACCGAATGTCTAAAATATAAAAATTCATAAGGACTATACTAACTTTGGATCCAGAGGAGGGCTGGGCCGGGGTCTGGGTTGGCCACCCCCTAGATCCGCCGATGCCTCGAATGGATCGGATTAATGTCGTTCGTTAGTGTAATTAATCATAGGTTTCATGAGAGGGTTCGACCTAATTGGTTGACCGGCTTGTTGGTCTGATTTGCAGCCGACACGAAGCCACTTCCCCGATGCATTTGTTCCCCTGTCTTTCATTTGTTTCTTTTTTCCCTCACCCAACTAAGCAAAATGTTGTCCCAAACGATGCTAACAACCAATTTATATTAATTAATCTTCTTTGATAGTAATTTTACCGAAGGTTTTAGAATTTTGTTTGGCTCTTAAACTAAGTGGACGTTTCTAAATACTCTCTGAGATTTGATTCGAGCAATGTTCTGTTGAATGCGGGTCATAACGGTTTTACCCAAAAGATTTTGTGTTGTTATGAATTAGTTGAGCCACTCGATGTATTTGTTGAAACTGGGCTACCGCTTGTATACTCCCTATGTCAATTGAGAATTTGGCTGAATATCCTTTGTAAATCGATATGGCAACGGTCTCAGAGAGGACTTCTTGGTGAAAATAGCTAAGTTAACGAGAAGATAAAAATAGTTTCGACCATGGACTAGTTTCATTTATACTATAAATGAGAAAAACCACATAACTCTCTGTGTCAATCTCGTTTTCGTAGTCGGTTTATTCCGACAGTTTGTTCCGATTATCAATAATTAACTTTCATTTTAGTGGTCGTCAGTTCGTCACACCAGAACATCATTTACTTTCGAATCTCCTCCGACAACAAGTTATTGAAATTATCCCACTTTAAGAAAAACTAGGATAAATTAATGATACGCACTCATGTCGAGAACTAGCCACATCTAACATATCATTCATATCTTTTCAACTCAAGGGCATCAATAACTCCAAAAAAAACCTCCTAGAAAAAACCATTTGAGGACAGCATTTGAAGACACCCGCAACATTATCCTCCTCCACATCACCATATGTACTACAAATCTTGAATTTTTTGTTCTCAAATGGGCAAAATGTTGGTGGAGGAGAGGAGAGGAGACTCTCATAAAACTATGTATAACATAACATGGGTGATGAAGTAGTGTGTGCATGTTTGTCAATGTCGATAGTGACCCAAGAATCAATAGCGGCGACAATTCTAGGGCATGTATTTTGAGGTCCCCTACGGTTTCTCTCTATGGGTCTCAACTCTCAATGTATACCATATAGTTTACAAGAGAAAAACAAATGTCATTAAGGCCTTGCTCGTCTTTTTCTTGACATATCCCCTACAAATTGAAGACAAAGAAGGAAAGGGAAGTGGGAGATGGACACAAACCAAAACTAGTGAATCAATGGGCATCGAAAGTTTGGCTACTTCTCCTAGCACATTTTGTCCATGTCCCCTCTATCCGGTTACATGGCATGTGATCGCGGACTCCTTATCACAGTCACATTACAATCGTTCACATAAAAAAAAAATTCAATTCGAGCATTGAAATTCAGTTCGAAATTGAATGTGATTGCACTGGATAGTTAAAAATCTCCCAATCAGGGATTGTCTGCGGTTCCGAAAATCCCACGAATGCCGAATCTTAATCAAGTTCATAGAAGTCCTTACTATGTCAAATTCACTTGTTTAATAATGAGTAATTAATTAGCAATTAGTTTAGTTAATGGCGTAAGGTAGAACTGCATAATGTTGTATTCTTACCAATTGGGCCTGCATTTTGTGAGAAGTGAGAAGGGCCCAATGTGTATATCATTGTCATTATCAGGCCCAGCCCCGTTCCCATTATTTAAGGGGCCCAGAAAGTGGAAAATATGTCCTTTAATTTGTTTTCCTTCACAAATGTTTTTGGACTGGATTAGTTAGTTATTTCGAAAGTATAGTTTGTCAAATCAGTCTGTTAACGTTCTATAGTCCAATCAATCATTAAGGCAAAAACATTCTATAGTCAGATTCACAAAATGGTACACTTTTTTCAACTAAGTTACAAAATCAATATATATATATCTCCTAAAAGATCAGTACATATAATTAATCAATGGGCTTTTCACTTGTATGGAGATAATAATAATAGTATATCAAGGCTTGAATAGTTAATGAATTGAATTTTTTTCTCTCTCTCTCTCTACCATCATCATGTCAATTTTGAGGTTCAAAGGAATCACTTTCTTCTGAAATTATATAAGCTATAAGATGAATCCAAAGGAATATATTATTTTGAAGACAACTTGAAGGGATGATTCTATAATTGGCACAGAAAGGGGGTGTAGCTCATATGGTAGAGCGCTCGCTTCGCATGCGAGAGGCACGGGGTTTGATTCCCCGCACCTCCATTTTTTGTTGTACACTTGATCCAAAAAAATTTTATCTTAATAATAAATTATGCTAACCGTTAATCAAGTTGAACTTTAATTGTATCGTATTATTATATAATAAAGTGCGAAAAATAACCAAAATCAATACTATTAAAGAACAGTACTATCTTATAAGAACATACAGATACGATAAGTCCACTTCCACATAATTATTAGTGTGTCGAGAATCATAGTCCTTGTCTTGACAAATTGGTAGCACTTCCCTAACTTTTGCTCTAAATAATTGGCCTTTGATCGATGTTTATCCATCCATAAGTGTGATCATTAGCAAGCTAGAGAGCTTTTGTATTTGGCAAAGTCATCAATTACGAGTAGTTGCCTATGCACTTAATTATGAAGGACAAAGGAGGCGTATGCTACCATATTGCTTGGAAGGCAGTGGGCACAACAACATGAGTTCATAGTCACTAATTAAGACATACAATAATATCTTTGTGTGTCCCTATATGCATATAGCTAATCTTGTCTCAAAGTTTATGTTTGGAAGTTAGGTTTAATTGATGGCTGAGGGATCCACACTCCATTGCTTCTCATTAGGGATGGCAATTTCGACCTGACCCGATTTACCCGACCTGTTTGACCTGTTTTGGGGCGGGTCAAACCCGCCCCGTAGGCGGGGCGGGGCGGGCATGGGTACCTCTCATCGACCCGACTTGCCCTGACCCGCCCCATTCTTGACCCGTTCTTGCCTAAATTACGTATAATATTAGTCAAATTACTTAAGATTTTCCTCTTATTACATTATATTTTAGCTATAATAAAGTTGTAAATAAGTGAAAACCTCAATTTCTTCAATAATTTAACTACATTTTATCATATTATGGTTTCTTTCTTGGTCTTTCAATGAAAAGAACGAATATTTCTAATGTTTTTCACATAAATTACATACCCAATGGGTCGACCTGCCCCAACCCGCGCCCCGTGATAAATTACCCGACCTGGACCCGACCTGCCATGGGGCGGGTATGGGTATCGAGATACCCGCCCCGGACCTGCCCCATTGCCATTCCTACTTCTCATCCTAAATAGCAAAAAGCCCAAATAGTTGATAATATCTACACCCTAAAACTACTTATGGGCTATGGTGGGAACAACAATTGGGTGGAGTTTAATTGATTGTGTCATACATACGCATTGTAGGAAAAGAAGAAATATGAGTTTTTGCTTAGCTAAGCAGTAAGTAGACTCGAACCTAATATAAGTAAACGGAAAAAATATCACTCCAATGTTGTCGTTACATCCATTTTTGCAAAGAACCAATATGTTAGGTTGAACCCTATAAAACCCTATTATTTCATCATACAAAATAGTTGTTATACCCAGGATGTTGCCCCATATAAAACCTATAAGCAGTTCGAGGTAGTGAGATGAAGGACAATGTTTACATCTTTTAGTTGTGCGCAGAACTGGCAACATAGGTAGATCAGTAAGACCTTTTTTTTTATTGACCTTGCTAATTCCCTCGCACTACGCAAACAGACGAATCAGAAAAATATCCACGATTATGAATTTATATGTAAGAATTAACATCTAAGTATAACCCAAAACTTATACAATAAGATGGTCTACAAGGCAAAAGAAAGAACAAAATATATATTTTTTATATATAATTCCTCCATAATTCTAATTAACTATAAAATTTCCACTTTTTCCTCACCATTACAAAAAAACCATGTGGCTAGCTTTCCTTTCCTATCAACAAATTTACACCTCTCATATCCCCTCCTACCACCAGCTGGGCACCAACAGAGAAAGAAGAAGAACAAAGAAACAAGTGGAGATATATCCCTCTCATTCCCAGCCTATCCCCATGTGATTTTCATCTATAATAATATGGACAATATCATTATTTGTTCCTTTCTCTCCTCCTCTTCCAATTTCCCATACTTGATTCATCTCCAAAAACAATCCCATCATTTCCCTGAAATAGCAACATAATTGACCATTTGATTAGACAAATTCCCAATTACACACCTTTTTATTATGATTCCAATCGTGACACAAAAGATGTGATTACTCAATAAATAGATTATATTCGATAATTACTATGCGCGCGCTTACCGAATGATCTTTTACAATGGAGGACGGCCTCTCGAATCGAGCTCTCGGAATCACCGGACGACGACGACGAAGCCGACCTCCGCCACCCTTCATCCGAATACGCCGCGCTGACACGTGGCGACGCCTTGCCGGACGACAACCACCTCTTCATCGCTAACTTGTTAATGTTACTGCTAATAATTACTCCCTTCGAGCTCAACGACCTCCGGTTCCTGGGCCCACCACCACCGCGTCGGCCCGATAAACGGCCCAACAGCGGCCCAACAAGCTCCAAGTACTTCTCCACAACCCGCCTAAACGACGAGCACCGCCGCGTTTTTTCCCCACCCGACCGAACCGGCCCGTCCTCGACGGTCGAGACCGGGCTGGAACCGACCGAATTCGACGACGACGACGACGACGCCGCCGCCTTGCGGAGGAAGAAAGGCACGACGTAGCCGTCGGCGAAGAGCTCGTCGGCGTGGTTCATCGGCGGCGGAGAGTGGTCGGGGAAGTTAAAGTCGTGGCCGGAGGAGGAGGAGTAGCTGCGGAAGAACCGCTTGGACGGCGGCATGCGTGGGTCCATCTCGATGTAGCTGGAGGCGGCCGAGTACTCGTCGGCGGCGGCGTCCAGTAGGGTTTCGAGAGAGGGTTTGAGGCTGGCGGCGGCGAGCCAGCTGTAGGAGAAGCTCTCGATCGAGAGCGGCTGCTGCTGAGAGGTTTCCATTTTTTTTCAGAGGAAGAGGAAGAGATTTGTTGGAAGTGAAGTGATTTCTGGTTTGGATTGTGGTTGTGGGATTTGGTTTATATATAGAGAGAGAGGAAAGCTGGTTTGCTTGTTGGATTTGAAAATGAAGGTTTTGAGTTTTAAAAACCTTTGGATTTATGATGGATTTGTTGCATCATGGATTTGGAAGAGTACATTGTTTGTTTAGTTGATTTTTTATCATGGATTTGTGATGAATTTGTCTCACATTTTTTCCTTCTGTTGTCAAATCCCAAATGAAATGTGAGATTTACAAATCCGTGGGGTCCACGGATTTGGATTTTAGATCCAAATCCGTGGACCCCACGGATTTGTGTCCCTCAACAAACAAAGGATTTGTGTCAACTCCATGATGCTTGGGATTTGAGTTCCAAATCCATCACCCAAATCCCACGAGCAAACGACCCCTTATTTTTGTATGTGAATGTGTAATATTATTGATAGAACGAATTGGAAAATTGACAATGTAAGAAAGTGAAGAACTTCAAGATTTGTGTGGTTTACTAACATTATGTGTGTTAGCTAACTACATACGTCCATCAAGAGGAGAGAGTAGTTTCACGACAATTAAGGAGATATATATTACATAGATTGAGAATTTCTATATACCACCTTCTCCAAACGACTTAATCTAATTCAACATAGAAAAGAAAAACTTCCGATAAGACTCCACAACTATTAGTTCTGTGCTTGTGACAAAGTTTTGGTGTGTGGCTGTCCGGCAAGAGACAATAATTTTTGTTTTCTCAAAAATTATTTTTATAAACTATTATTATTATTATTGAAAATTATTATATTGATTTGAGCTAGGGAGAAATTGAAGGGGGAACATAGAAATGTGCCCCCACAAGTTTCCACTACGTAGTGTTGCATCAAGGGGGCTCTTTTTTATTTTCTAACAATCCCCACCTCCCACCCTTTTTGTTTTCATTTATTGGTCATTTGTAGCTTTGAAATTCGAACATAGACATAGTTTAAGGTCGGCTTCCTCTTTACATATTCCCTCTCATCATGAAGATAAAAGGAAACACTATTGGTGTGATTGATGAGGAGAATACCTTTTTATTGGCGTGATTTGCATTTAGAAATTGTCATTTCAAATAAAAAAAAAACACATGCATGCATTTCAAGTTGGTTGATGTTCGAGATGAAGTTATTTGTTTATTTTTTTTCGTACGCAACTCGCTACTTAATGTTCGATTATCGACAAGGATAATTAATCTTATATTAATTGTAATCCTTGTACTCTTAATTATATACCTCATTCGTTAGTAGAATTATTTCATTTAATTTTAAAATGGATTATTAATTATCGTGATGGTTGCTCAGGGTGGCTGGTGGAAATTGAACACTGAAGAGGTTTGCTCAGAGTCACGAGAGAACAACAATTGAAGCCGAGTTGTGGGTCATTCACCAAGGCGTAAAGTTAGCGTGGGAGAAAGGGATCAAGCTCCCGATCACAAAATCCAATTCTAAATTAGCTTCTATGGAGCTCATCCAGACTCGCCCAGACCCTTTCCATACATCTCGCTACCTTTTCCAGTACAATCCGAAGACAAAAATACACATTTCGTGAAGGGAATATAATCGGAGACTTGTTCTCAAAAGCACCGTCTCATCTATCCGCTAACAAATTCTTCTCCAGTACATATTGTAAGGAAGTGGTTAAGCACCATACACGGGCCTGTATAAGATCCATCATAACCTTCTCCCAACAATTCGAGTTATTGGGACCAACTGGTTCATGACATGATATCAGAGCTGGTTTGTCCTTGAGGTCACGTGTTCAAGTCCTCACGACCCCCAATATTAACCGTTGTCTTTCAAGCACATGGTATGGCGGGCCTGTGCAAACTTCAAGCCCATGAGTCGGCTTTCGTTTGAGGGGGCGTGTAAGGAAGTGGTTAAGCACCATATACGGGCATGTATAAGATCCAATATAACCTTCTCCCAACAACTCGAGTTATTGTGACCAACTGGTTCATGACACATATTTGTGTACACAATTTGGTTGGCAAGCACTGTGCTTTGAAGGGGATGCGAATGTGCTCATTGATAAGATCAATCATGCAGATGCAAGAGATAACCAAGTAGGAGCTGTTCTGGAGGAAGTTTTGCATTGTTTAACAGCTATCCTGGGTTTAGTGTTCAGTTTATAGGTCGGCGTAGTAATAGGGTAGCCCATTTGGTGGCTAGGAAGGCCCTTTCTTTGTACCCGGCTATGGATGGTTTCTTTGATTTCCAGGCCTGGCTGTCATCCAGGATGTAACTATCTCTTTTGATATTTATAAGATTATCTTTTGTAAAAAAAAAAAAAAAAAAGCACTGTGCTTTGCTAGTATTGCGAAGCAAGGTTCATGCACATAAACTAACTTAAAAAGGCATGCTTTGCTTTCCCACCTCATTCATTTTCTTTTTGCTACAAAGTCTTATGTATTCATACAATAAGATTCTCCAGACCATAATTGATTGCATCACTTCTGCTTAGCTCCATCGATCGCTCTCACGATGCTCACATCCCAACTACTGCAAACTGTAGATTTAAATTAATTATCTCTAAAGCTTAAAGCTGACTCTCTCTTAACTAAACTATAAACACAATGGAGAGAAAGGAAGATAATTAATTAAGTAGTTATCAATGATTCTCTTATTAGTTTGATTAATTACTTAATTTGAAGGAAAAGTGAAGTGACTCCATCGATCGAAAAGGAGAGGAGAGGAGAGGAGAGCTTCGTGTTAAGGGTTTGTTGAGCTGAACCTTCAATGTCTTCTTAATTACAATTAAATAGACTAAGTGCATGGCAAAGGTCAACCAACAATATCATGATGTTGTTTAAAAAGCTGTAAGAGAACACAATGAGCTTGTCCGTTGGCTGGAAGTTTAGTAGATCGAATAGAGTACGTGTGGCGACAAAAAAGGCTTTCATGGCTAGCTGGATGATCTCATCGTGAAGGTAATTAATGAGGAGCTTAATTATCTGGTTTCTAAGCTAACTTTGTCGGGTGAGAATTGTAGAAGGTAAGGCTAACTAGATTTTGCAAAACGGGTTGGGTTCGGTTGGGTCGCCGGGTGTGAAGTCTGAAGAGCAAGAGATGCAGGGCTTACAAAATTGATATGTTAAAAGGGTACGAAAAGAGACGTACGTATTAATAAAATCAGCTCCACTCAAAGCAACATAATTCAGTCATAACGTACAATTAAGGATCAGTGGCCATAACCGATCAAGGTCAACACAAGTTAATTAATTCGAATGATATCAATTGATGAACCCATTTCGACGAGTTACAACCGGTCATAAAATTTCCCAATTTGCACTACTTCAGTTGACTTATGATAAATTGAGACATATAGTGCATGCTTGTGAAGTTGCACGACGCCTATATTGATACACGACCCTATCGTTATTTTATCTCATAAATACTTCACCCAACAATTCATAGCAATAGCAATGATGTTAGCCTCTTGGCTGGGGTTAAACAAACCTCACCAAAAATATCAGAGATATGACTGAAAGAGATTAAGAGGTGGGGGAAACAAATATTCATTTGGTGCAGAAATCTCACACTTTCACATCCACTAGCTAACAAGCAATAAGCAGCTTCATAAACGAGCCAGGAAAAACCCCAAAACCAGTTCATTAGATTGATTTTTTTTTTTTTATTTAAAAAATGAACAGAACATAGAAACATATATTAATTGTAGTAGTAGCAGACAAGAGGTCCCCAGGAGGCTGTCGGAACGACCAAAGGGTGGTTTCTTTATTTCCGGCGACAAAAGCCCAACAGCAGATAGCGACTCCCAACGTATTGGTCCCGGCCCGGAGACGGCGATGTCATCACGCAAAGCAAGAGGCTTAATTATGTTTTTGTAAAATTGCAAGGGTGGTTTATTGGTTACGTAATTTCGCCCTCTAATCAAACAGTGTGTTATGGAACAATCGAGGTTGCTTTTCAATAATCATGATGACCCATCGATGTTCATAAGAGATAATTAGATGGCCTAGCAGGCTTGGGTCCATTCGGTTGGGCCCACTCGGAGCAACCGAGAGTTTCAACGTATTGTCCTCATCTGCGATCATCATGTCAAACGAAGCGTTGGACGTTGATCAGGGTATAAAAGAAATGTCACCTTTTTTCGTTCAGCGACTGAAAAGAAGAAAGCTTTACTCAGGTTATGTTTATGTAGGGGGGTAGCGAACAGTTTCGAGCCACGTGTCCACGCAGGTGTCGATATTTAGTATGAACGTCCAGTAATACGTGTTAAGTTGGAGAACAAAAAAGTCTAGTCACCGTACCATGTTTTCATATAAAATCCGAAATTGATTCCACCAAACCACGGAGTGTTATCCACTTCCTTTCTCTCGTATCGGTCATATCACCTCACTCACTCACTCGGCCCAAAATCCATGTATAAGTTACTATAATAACGAGATTAGGGCGTAAGTTACCCAACTTGCGCCTCAAATTTCATACAACCAAAAATCACGTCATAGAGATACACGTGTATTGAAATTATACAATGCAAAAACTAATAGAAATACCACGGAACAAACACGTTATCATTTTATCCACTGTTGTGAAACAGAGAGAGGCCTCTTTTGTGTTGGTGGTAACATATCGGAATCCCCAGATGATTGGCGTCACAACGAAAAGAATCAATCAATTGGAAAACAGAATCGAATAGGGCATTATTTGCACCCTAAAAAGTGGAGAACAACGATGGTGAGAAGACAACCCATCAAACAAAACAGCAACCAATGCTTTTTGGAAAATGATATAAAAAAAAATGGAGGAAATTTTAAAACGACAGCCGCTCTTAGGCTTTGAGTTTGTAATCATGATGTTTCAGTCTCTCGTCGTCCATGTGCAGTAGTTAACACAAAGAAGACCCAATATATTTTGTGCACATGATCGATGGTAACAAAAAAGATGGATTGGTCGGGTAATTTGTGATCAACAATAGCTAAGGCCCTCGTTTCCTTTCTTTCTTCTTTTGATTAACTATCACTACTGGTATTGAATAGGCTCTGATATCATGTGATTCGTTTTAAGATATTAGATTACGTCTTATTTCTGAAATCTCGAAGGGTGTGTACTACATATAAAGTGTGTAAGGTTTAATTTTCACTACTGTAACTTAGAAATTAATGTAAAAATACATAGCTTTTAGGTAGGAGCCACGTTGTCTCCAATAGGGACTAT